AGACGGAGGTCAGGTGTCGACTATGCGGCAGCGGCAGGGTCTGGCGGTAGGAAGCGGAGGTGTTGGGCAGGGGGCCGAGTTTCCCCCTTGACAGTTCTGTGCATATCGTTTGTACACAGCCATGAACTGGTGCCACCCGGCGTGCTATCAGTCACAGGAATACAATGAAATCACGATTTTGCTAGACTATTTCGACAATAGTAAAAAAAAAATCTAAATCTGTGCGTATTACCACCTATGGACAGTGGACAAGGAAAATGGATAACACTATATATTTTATTCAATATCACTAATGTATTACGATATGTACACTTGGAATTACAGAGGGAGGGTGGAGGGGGGTTAGAGGAACTCCTGGATCAGAACATACGCAGGTTAGACATCATACGGACTGCAAAGAGAAGTGGGCTTGGGTAGGACACATCACGAGGCGATGGTGGTGGCCAGTGGTCGAGACGAATCCTGGAGCGACAGCCAAAGGGTGGAACACACCCCCTCAGACAGCATCCACTGTGGAGATGCAGGGATGAAAATCGGCTCGTACGCAGGAGCCAAATGCAGTGTTCATTTATAAGGGTGGCAGCAACGGTGACAGCTTGGAGGCATTCATCCAACAGTGCATAGATCACGAGTGACGATCGTAATTTAGTGGTTCCCTGTGCCGACTGATGTGTACCGTTAGGCTCGCTTAACCCCGCCACTCCAGTCATGTACGAATGACCAGCATCCTTGTGGGAGATTAATGTTGTTTGGCAGTAAGCAGTGCCAACCCACACCTCACCCACCCACACACACCCAGCCACCCTAAACAGAAATCCCCCTCCTCGCTCTCCACGACTACCACACCAAGTGATGGAGAACACGGAATTTCCAGCCGGCACCGCGTGTCTGCTAATTAGCAGCAGCAGGTGCCGGTCTAATATTTGCAGAAACAATCGGCAGCGGCGGCGGCCACCGCCAACGACTGCCAGCTTCGTCATGGATAAGTCTTATTGCGACAGTTCAGGTGAAAATGACAATGACGGAAACAAATTGCCCAACTAATATGGATGCTATTTTGTAATTGGCCAGGTGGCTCGGCAATAGAGCGCCACTCAAATTTGAAGGTTCAAATCTTCGGTGGGCATCGACTCAAGCCCAACATCCAGGGGGTTCAATAAAAGGAGTACGAGGCAATTGCCGGTCGTCGAGTCATGCATACGACTCGCCCCCGCCATCGGAAATTGAAATTGCCACAGTCCGAGAGCTGTAAACGGGAAAGTTGCATTAATCCTCATTTGCGCAACTACTAACCTAATATTTGCGTCTTTTGGTAAACTCACGTAGATATTAAAAAAATTTAATCACGACGATTTGATCGCAACACAAGCAATCGTCTTCAGGTGAAAAAAATCCAGCAGGCGAACTGCTGAGGCAGAGCAGTCGAGATGCACAGATAACAAATAAAAATCCATCAAAGTGTAGATGTCTTCACTCTAATCATAATGTAAAATGTTTAAAGCGCCCTTACAACAATGGCTCTCAGGGCTTGACAAAAAACAAAACCTCTTAAAGTGGACGGCTGAAGTGGGTGGATAAACGATGCAAAGCCAAGTCCATCCCAGCAGACGTTGCTGGAACTTGGCATTGAGTACAAGAGTCAGCCAGGCAGGATGTCACCATGAGGGAGGATGGTCGGTGGGCGAGACCAATACATGGGGACAGAGGGGGGGGGGGGGGGCAGCCAAAGGAGGAAACAAACCCACAAGGATGCCCACCGGTGGAGTCGTTATATTTAGTTTAGCAGATTGCCAGAGCTGGAGTTTGCAATGGTAGAACTCAAGAGGACGTTAGATGGCTAAGGAGTATAAAACACACCACTAAAACAAATTACACTAAAATGATACACTCGATAATTATTTAGCAATCGAATTTGCAAGGCAGTTGCGAATGTGTTCCGAGATGCCCCCCCCCCGCCGCCATGAAAATGAGCACGTGCACGAGAGTTGAGTTACAGGTCAGGACAGCCGCCGATGTACGGACGCATTAGCGGCGTCACTGCCGTTAGCCTGGTCACATGCGGATGGGTGGAGTTCCACGCGTGCGACTCAGTAGGGGTGGCTTCGCGTCAGTTTGAAGGCACGCCACCACAAAGGGTTTCTATTGGAGTCGGGCAGTTTTATGTAAAAGGGAGCATACAATGTGAATTTAATCGAAACGCACAACACTTAGTGGCAACCCAGCACATTCCTCAATTGACACGTTGAAAACAAGGCCGTCTTGGAGAGCCCTTCCAGATGTGCGCAGAGTCCACCTTTCAGAACCATTCGGACAGGGGGGCGGGGTATGAACCTCGATTTTATCCCCACTTGGTTATACTTTTGGGTTCTGGAATTCGTGAGTCCTTGGGCCCATGCCCCCCCCCTACCCAGCCCTCAAACCAGACCCCTTTTTGCACCGCAGAAATCAGATTTACCAGCTTGTGTGCAGGGCAGGTCAAGCGACAACCCACCAGATGACGCCTCGCCATACTCAATAATAATTTCACTTGTGGTCAGACGCCACAGCAGTCGAACACCACCATCCAGCAAGCCAGCGGAGTCGTCCCCAGGCCACACGTAGTGTTCCGAGCGGCGAGTGCGGTCGCCCACGCTTCCACAGATTCCTCTTCGCCACAGGGCGGCGCTAGAGACAGACACCTGCCCTTGACGGTCACTTCGACCACTTCCCGGGTCCGAGCCACACGGAATCACTCTTGTAACAAGGAATGCCGCGTATAGCATAAACTACACAGCCTGACGTAGTTTACCCACAACGTAACGTCTGGGCGTTCTCAGTGCACTGTTGAGTCGACTTTGTCAACACAGGCCCACACTGCTTTTGAAACTACTGCCGGTCCTGGTGCTCCCATCCAATGCGGGTAGTTGTTGCTCTTAAGCTTATATACACAGCGCCTGGCCATCCGTAGCCAATGGATAAACAGCTCCAACCCTAAGCAATGAAGCCTCGTCACCCGAGTAAATTTCTCCAAATCAGAACTCCGCACACGGTTCCAGACAATAGGCTACATGATTTGAAAGCATGCAGGATCAACCAATGTTGAACAAGCAATGCATTTCCGACTGGGGAAATGAGTCATCCCCCCTCTGCACGTGCAAGTCCCACCAATCGGGAGCAAGGGTGGTAATTCTGTACTTTTACTCACGACAACCCACTCTCCCGCACGTGCAAATTGAACCAATCAGAGCTAGTCGCGTCTAATTGGCTGCCACGCATGCGTCTCCAACCAATGGGTGTTGCGACTGCGAGACAAAGCTCAATCATGGCAGTCACCCCCAGTGGCAGCGTGGTCCAAAAACATGGCCGAACTCTTGAGTCCTGTCAAGTTACTTTAACAACATCACAGTGGATTGATCATGGCCGCCGCTGATGATGAGGCGCAAGCGTCCTTCCCTCGATGAACTTAAGCTCCCTTGGGACTCGGGATAGCCTCTCACCAAATCGTTGGAGGACTTCTCAGCATATGCAGGATAGCCGGAAGGGTGCGCCTTCTGGCAACGAACGGTTATTTGGCATACTCATCAAAGCTCCGTGCAAGCAGATACCATAACTTCAAAACCAATAAGAGCAAGACATACCCTGTTTTAACAAATATCCTGGTTAGTGTTTCCATACTACATTGCTCCCGTAATGGACAGTATGTTATATATATTGGTGGTGCGGTGATCAGTGCATTACGTTCGGAACGGACGTAGAATACAAATGCATTCGTGGAGTCGGTCCCACTCAGACCTCCTTGCACACAAGCTGCGCTGGAAATCCGTAGATCGGAGTTTTTACTTCACTTTAGACGCTGCCCATTCAGCTATCGTCCGTTAAAAAAATCCTCACCTTAGTTTTTATTTGGGCATTTTTCAGAATTTGTTTTAATCTTTCTGCATTTTATACAGCACTGGATAAAGATTCAAGCGCTTACTCGGTAATCTTAGCTTCATAATAGATGCGAAGTCAATCTAGATTTGAAGTTTTCGTGACTGCAGGGATCCATACTCTTTGGTTCTTTCGGTAGATGCAAAGTTCTTTATGTACTGCATGTATGTGTATGCATGTATGTGTACTGTGTGTGTACTGTTTGTGCGTGCATGTATGTGTACTGTGTGTGTCATGCAGCAGTTAGCGCACCTCGCTGTGAAGCCTGTCACCTATGTTCAATTCCCGGCCACGGCTAACATCAGTGGAGAGTGATATCTGAACCGTTCTGGACCTCCCTCTAGGTCTACTCGGCCTAAAATGAGTACCAGGTGCAGTGTGTGTAAACACCAGCGCCAACGGTGACCAGGCATAGTTCTGGTCACACAACCCTCTCTGGTGCCTTGCCGGCCTTCGTAGGTGCTCGGTAACAGCACGTTCCCCAACATTCTGCATTAGGCTACACGGGGGATCTTTGTTGTATGACGCAGTACAACGTCGCATGTCTGACACGATGTAGGCGGATATGTGAAACGGTCGGATAACGTGAACTCTTGCAGTAAAGTTACACCGTGCACAGGTACTGAACTTAGGAGTTTCCAGTTCAGATGTATTTTTGTTTAACCGGGTGAGGACTGGTGAGCCCAGGATAGTCTCATTTACAAGAGCGACCTGGGTAACCAGAATGACAAAGGTAAAATAAATAGACTAAAGTACAGCAATGCCGCAAAAAAAAATCGGAACAAAACCAATCGCGTCACAGGCAGCAATCGAAATGTTGCACAAACTTACAACAACGTTCATTAGCAACATCCCGTAAGCATAAGTCGTTCTGGGCAGATTATTTTTAGGGCGGTTAATTGGTCAGAGGGGCTACGCGATGGTCGGATAGGCGACGTTGCACTGTATGTTCAACTATTGTTGACCCCCCCCCCCCCGCCGCCAGTTGAGTGGGGTCGGAATAACATTTCAAATAGAACCTTGAAACCCTTTTAAGAATTCGCAACGGAGATGAGCTTGACTAATAAGCATCCGCGTTGACCCTTTTGCAGCATCCTCATCAACCCTGGAAACCACGTGAAGATCCAAGAGGGCACCTTGGGCTTCTTCATCGCAAGCGATGCCAAGGAGGTGAAACGGTGAGTGCGTCGTTACGACGGCCCCAGCGGCGAGTCCTCGGCCGCTACGAGATTCAAGATTCAAGCCGTAGGTCAAGAGGTTACGCGCCCCTTCACGTGGACGTCCGATAAAGACAATGCACAAACTACCAGAGCATGCTACGTTTTGTTTGCATGTTCACCACAAGTATATGTGGTTAATGCAGACATGATTCCTTGCAAAAGATTTCAGTTTGGTGTGTTAACATCTTCACACAGCTGTTTTATTGCCAGAAATGGTAAAACCTATTCTTATAAATCCCACGACTTTGCTTGTAAAATTCCACTTAACCATCCCCCCCGTCGCGTGGAATTTCATACGCAATCTACATGAAAGAGTCCCTGGGGAATTTCCATAACTATATTGCAAATTATTATTTTTGGTCAGAGGTACAGCAGCAGCCTCTGTGCTCGTCTAAATGAGCCTGGGTTGTTGCCAAGACGCACGTCGGGGGTACGCAGCTCGCCAGCTCTAGCAGCGGTTTGTGAGATGCATTTCGCAGGCCTTGAGTCGGGCGTCTTTGAGTGACAGCTCGCTAAATAATAAATGGAGTGGGAAAAGAGTTTCCGGCTTTTGAAAAAAAAAATGGCTACTTTGATAAAGGTCGTTGCCCATCTTGGTCCGTCACACAGAGCCGCATTGTGATGCTCGTGAGCTTATCGGTCTTCTCAGGGAGAGGGAAGACGCTCGATGTCTTGGTACTGTGACCGGGTGTGACGATGCCGTACTCGGATTCATCGATTATTATTTGATTCTTAAGCTCGTGATACACTACGGGTTTTCAATTTGAATGGTTTACGTGATGGAGTCACGTGGCCTCTCCCTCCTGCCACCAGAGACCGCTATATTTGCTGGAATGTTTAAAAAAAGGATGCATTATTGAACACTGTTCCATAAGTCATCTCTCACACAGTACTCGACCAGCACACAGGTTACCACAACAATTATGACACACGCTGCTCTACCAGCACACAGGTTACCACAACAATCATCACACATAGTGTTCTACCATCAAATGAGACTCTCCTGGTATCTTTAGTTCTCCCCTGGTTAAAGAGATAAACTTGAACGAGATCACACAGTCATCGCATGCAGTGCCTGACAGCTCACACCTAGAGAATTGCAGCTGATGTGCACACACACGCACGTACACGGACGGCCATCATGTGCACCCAAAGAGGGCCTAACTCGTGTAGGACGTGCGTAAACAGCAGAGTCAGCTGTCAAAACACAGAGAGTTGGAGGGGCGCTCTGTGAAAACGTGCACGTGCGTTGATGCGCGTGGAAAGATGTCACAAATGCAAAACTCCTCGTCACTTGCAGTGAGCGGTCAGACGTAGCCTCCTCGGCTGGCAAGCCTAGAAAGGACATCAGCACACGCGGCGTAGCATTGAGAATGACGATATTGACGATATTTCGAAAGTGAATTCGTTGTTGAATACAAACTGTCGAGGAACAGCAGTAGTCATTGCGGTCATGGCACTGTGCCGTGAACCTAGCGACCTAAGTTCGCTTCCCAGCCCACGTCTGACATCAGTGGCGAGCGATGCCTCGACCAGTCCTGCGTCCCGCATGCTCCCCGCCTGCACAAACCCACAGTGACCAGAGTAGTGAAGTGCAGACAAACAACCATCAAGACTGACACTGCATGGGGAGGCACTCACCTGGCAGTGTACTGATCAAGGGCTTTAAATAATTAATAATGCATTGTTATAGTGCTTAACGCATAGATTTAATTGATAAATGAATGGCAGTATTATTACAATATTTTGCGGACTGATCGAACCTTTGTTGCTGATTTTATTGAGTTAAAATATAGTTGGTGAAATTATCGCGTTTATGACTGCACGTGAAACATTTTTTGCATAATTCTTATTTTTATTCTTTCGCAGAGCTTTCTTCTACTGCAAGGCCTGCCATGATGACATTTCTGATGCCAAGAAAATCAGAAAATGTGGCTGTAAAGGATGTAAGTGCTTGACTCTCAAAACATCTCCATCTCACAGTCCCGTGGACTGGTAGTGTTCATGGTTGAGTCAATGCGATGCCACTTCCAATCAGACATCCAAAGGCAAACACACACCTTGGGACACTGATACAAATGACAGCAATGGCTATCGTTAGGAATTCAATTGTGCCGAATTATCAAATTGAAAATGCGTTTTGCCCTGCCAGCTACCCGTCAGCCTCCGTACCGCCAAATTAACACTTACAAAGAGCGATTGCGCGTTGGAAAGCGTTGACAGAATCCGCTCGTCCGCATGTGTTTTCCTAACTCGTAAAAAAAACCCTGAAATGTATTTTAACAACGGACAGTCAGTGACCCAGCGTCTGCGCCCCACGCGTCTCTGCGTGAGCACGGTTTAGTATTTTTATCTTTTGCCACTCGTGAGTCACTTGACCGAGCACGCCATCCCCACGGTCGCTGAGAGTCGCTAAACGCTTTGTAACAAAGCGTCGCGTCTGCCGGCGGAAGTCCTACCACCGAGTTTGCGCCCGTGTACCTATTAACGATGCGATAATACCCCACCGACAGCCGCTGCCGTGGAGGAACTCTTAAGATTCAGATCGTGCCAAATGCTTCCTGGCCTCCCCGGGCATCTGCGGAAAAATCTGAACTCTCGTTCGGAGCAAGTGGGCTGTGAGTGGAAAGCGAGTAAACACTCGGCACCCACGGGGGACGGGGCCAGCGATTGCCGCCCGCCGGCCGCCACCGCTCGCCACTTAAGCGGCGGTGACTTCGACGCGGCGCTTGCGCCAGGCTAGGTGCACTCTGAGGCCGTCACGTGAAGTGCCGAAGGCTCCGCTGACAGGAGGTCAGAGGAGCTTTCGCTGACACGCACGCAATGATAATAAAATAATTACATTTTATCGCTATGCATGGCACAAAAACAGACCTGGGGCAACCGACCAAACGAGAGAGTGAAGGCTACTTTAAAGAGATGGCTTTTCAAAGCTGACTTTAATATAACTACCGACTCTGCTTGCCCGATTTCAAGTAGCAAGGCGTTCCATAGCTTGGGTGCCATGCTAACAAAAGCCCGATCACCAAAAAGAGTGCAACCTCGACCTGGCAATGCTGAACAGTTGGAGATCAGCAGATCTTAAGGACCTTGATGGAATACATACATGTATTAGTTATACACGTACGCACACACGCACGCACGCACTTTGTCTGCCCGCCTTCTCGTTGCGGATTCCATGGGTGAGTGGGGAGGCTGCGCAGCATTAGCCAAGTGCGCCCTCAACATTTCGCTGCCCCATCCTGGTAGCATGCACGTGGGCTGCCGTTTTTGAACGTGATTATCTTTAGCTTCAGGAGACATGGCTAATTGGTGGACCTGGCGGTTTCAATACGCCCATGAACCTGAATGCACTAAAATCGTTATCGGCATAATCCCAGCGTGCATGGCAAAAGCCAGTCGGTAAATGGTCTCCGTTTGACGTACACCCTTTAATGGACAGACTGTGGCCAAACAAAAAAAATGGCACTTCACGATTTGTCCGAATAATCACCCAATGCCTTTGAAGTGTCTAAAGCGTTATGTACGAAACTGTGGAACTGCCTCCGATATGAGCCACATGGCACTTTAGCAGCAGTTTATGGGAAGAGAAAAACAAATCGTTTTACTCTTCGTCATTTTAGTTTGAGACACCCTGCAGTAAACAAAGATCCCCCGTATAGCCTTAGCAGACTGTGGGGGCAAGTGCTGTCAGCATGTAGCACCTATGAAGGCCGGCTCGGCACACGAAGGGGGTGGGTGGACAGCACCACACAGACACACGCATACACAGACACACGCACACATAGACACACGCACACACAGACAGACACACAAAGACACACACACGCAATGTGCACCCCATACAACAGCGGGTAGACTTCCGCTGAAACAGAACAAGTGGTTGTTGACAGGATGGCACGGTGTTTACTTTACAAACGTATTTGAAATACATCTTTTTTTATACCAGTTCGATGCATCCTAAAGTACTTCTAATACGTATGGCGAGCTTGGAAGAGTAGGCAAACACCCCCCTAGAGGAGCTCTCTATAGCTCTATCTATTGGAGGCCCTTCCACCAGCAGTGATGCGAGCAGATACATTTCAGGGCTGCTCCTTTACCTCTGATAGAACTGCGCACGTTTGGTTTTGTTTCGCCTCGTAACGAATGGCGCTTAACGCCTCGGTGTCACGCGGTCTAAATAGATGCTCGGTTGTGGTCGTGTCACTGCCGTGCCATCCCGGCACCGCCGCCTCCTCCTCTCCACGGCCTCGTGGCTGACCTTGCCGTGACCTCTCCGTGACGTCACACCTCCGATTAGCGCGGGTTGGCGACGTACGGTGCAGAAAGTAGCTCAGCACACACACACACTTACACACACTCTCACACACACACTCACACACACTCACACACACTCTCACACACATTCACACACTCACACACACACACTTACAAAGACAAAGATCCCCCGTATAGCCTTAACAGACTGTAGGGGCAAGTGCTGTTAGCGAGCACCTATGAAGGCCGGAACGGTACACGAGGGGGTGGGTGGCCAGCACCACGCCCGACCGCCTTTGTCTCCCCAGTGGCGATGTTTACACACCATACCAGGTACTCATTTCAGGCTGAATCGACCTAGGGGAGGCCCAGGACCGGTTCAGATAATCGTCACTGGTGTTGGCCGTGAGCGGGAATCGAACCCGGGTCGCCAGGTTCATAGCGCAGCGCGCTAACCGCTACACTACCGCTCCCCACACACTTACACACACTCTCACACACACACACACTTACACACACTTACACACACTCTCACACACACACACTTACACACACTTACACACACTTACACACACTCTCACACACACACACTTACACACACACACTTACACACACTCACATACACACTTACACACACTTACACACACTTACACACACTCTCACACACATTCACACATCAACACACACTCACACACACTCACACACACTCTCACACACACTCTCACACACTCTCACACACACTTACACACACACACTCTCAAACACACTCACACACACTCACACACACTCACAAAAACACACTCACACACACTCACACACACTCACAAACACACTCACACACACACGTGGTAACAATGGTCACACTCGTGCCTTACAGCAAGAAGGGCCTGGGTTTGATTTCCTGACATGGGCACCTTTCTGTTTGGGCCTGTGTACGCTCTCCCCCTGTTCTGCACGGGGTTTCTCCAGGTTCTGCGATTTCCTCCCATATCTAAACACGAACAATGCCACCGGTGTTAACCAAACGTCGCAATGCGAGACCCCCCCTCCCTCCTGAGAGACGACCCAGTGTGGCTTTTCTGGGTAAATAAATACTTATTAATTAAAGTTACGTAAAGAATAATATCTCACAATACCAAAAGAGGGGAGAACTTAATGTAATTGCTTCTTCTTGAGAGATGTATTCATTATTATTATTATTGTGCAACCTTACAAAAACTTGGATTTTGTTACGTCCCAGGACGACTTAACAGATTTGCCAGGACGGCAGCTAGCCTCAAAATGAGCACCGTCCTGGGAAAACCCAGGACAGGTGGCAACACAGCACTGCGTGTTCTCCATCCTGCCTTCGAGAGGATGCGCTCAACCTTTTTCATGCGTAGATCACAACGCAATCTGGACATATTCAGCTCATGAGTGCGACCGCAACTCGTAGACGCTGGCAGGTCTCGAGCCTGGCCTTGAACAGGCCCAGGGAGTCGGTGATTAAGGATTTGTAGACACTGGGGGCAGCAGAGGAGAAGTTCAAGTTCAAGTGCATTTATTAGGTGTAGCCCTGTGAGCCATTCGGCTCTTGAATCGGGTGCAACCGCAACAAACAAAAAACAAAAACATGAACAAGAAAACATCTTAAAGTGACTAAGTGCAAACAGAAAATCCAAGGAAAGACAGCAAAATATTGCAGAAAAAGCACCGTACACAAACACTGTGTGCCACCTCCCACTGAGTGAAGGTTGACTGGGGGCTTCGACAGAAGGCCTCGGTTTATGGGTTTTTTTTTTTACGCACGCACGGTCTGTCTTTACGTTTCACTATCGGTACCAGAGGACTGTGCACAACTGAATTATGCTTTGTTAGTCGCAACATAAAGTGCAGTTTGTGTCATTGCACGACGCGCCAATGAAGGTGTCATCCACTACTCGGTGACCACAGTTAGATGGACTAGGGGGTGAGATGGCAGGATGGGATTAGGAGAGTTGAAGGAGCATCCTGGATGGAATTGGCGAGAGATCGTAGAGAGAGTGGGAGACCGGTGGAGGAGGCTGCTGCCCAGGTAGAATCCAGTCAGAGTGCTCATCTCCCGTTCACAACTCTGAGCCTTTGATGGGAATTACACATTCCCGAGTCTCTCCATAGGACAGCCACTGTTGCTTTCCCCACAAAGTGGGTGCTCATTTTATCGACCCCAGAGTGCCGATGGGCTGTCAACCGCCAAACCCGGATTTGAACTGGCAGCCTTGCGATTGTGCACTACTTCGCTCTCCCGCCGAGTGGAGGAATGTCATGTCAACGGCTGAGGAAGACGAAGCTGCCAAGGAATAAGACACTGAGAGTCGGGCACGCTAGTGGGCGTGCAATGGCAACCCAATTACGGTGTTTCTCAACTGGCCGTCCTCGCAGGCCTTTAACACCCCCCCCCCCCCCCCCACGGCCAACAGCCCACCTTTTTTGTTTCACGATGACCTCAAACTTTCCAATCCGATAAACAAATACGGCCGCTTGCACGCACTGCACGCGGCCGATGTTGGGTAATCGCGGACAGCCGCTGTGCGGTGATGTGGCGTGCGGTGCCTGGAATTGAGAATCTCTGGCCCCCCCTCCACCTGCTCTGTTCGAGCTGCATGCAGGAAATCCGCACACGGCCAAGGGAGCCCAGAGGGCTTAGTGGCGGCTATTCAGCGTAGAAGACGCCAGGGGGAGTCAGCAAGCCGCGCGAGGCATTGCCTCCACCACCGTGAACAGCCAATGAACGAGCGGCAGTTGGCTGCTGAAACCCGAGGAGGGGGAGTTCATTACCACAGTTGCATTTCCCGTGGAACATTTTCAGAGTCAGAATATTTGTTTATACTGCTGGTTGGAATCCGATGAGCCATGAAGCTCTTTTTTTCTCACAGATCTCCGGTAGGGGCACGGGGTAAGACTGTTGCAACAACAAACAATGCAAAAGACGCGATAGCAGCGCAAAGTGCAAGCAAATGCAAATAAATCATCCATAAAACATGCAAATGCAACTAAACCATCCCCATCCTACCGGGCAAAGCCCACTGAGGTACTAACTTGGTTTGTGGAAGCGAATCTGGCCACCACAAATTGCCAGCTCAGCAAAGTGGCTCACCCCACTCCCGACCCTACCCTCCGCTTCCTGCCACAGTGTGGCGGTGGTGGCGTGTTGGCAGGGCCCATGATGGGTCCTCCTTCCACATGAAGCCAGACGCTCGCTGATTTGGAATGGGCCAAAAACCCCCGGGTGTAGCGGGTACCTATCCCGAAAATGGGTCTTGAGATTCCAGCGAGGCTTTCCGGCGTAAATAATTTGCCTGTGCTTTGTCGATGTTAATATTTTTTTGCCGCAGGATGTATTATTGCCACAACTCGTAATTGATGTTTTGAGATCGGCCGCGTAATGAATGAAGCCTAACCCAAGTATCAATTATGACTCAAGACGTTGGCTGCGAAAACCGATGTGCGAAGTCGTTATCCTACGTTGCGTCCAAGTGATGCGAGGCACTGGCTCTACGCTTGTTGCAGCTGGCAATCAATAGCAAGTGCCCCAATGGTAATGTGCTAATACATAAACACCATGGGGAACCCTGCCTTCACCACTGGATTGACAAAGGTTGTGCATTATTAAAATGCTGGGGCAGAGGGAGTGGTGGCGTAGTGGTTAGCCCAATGCCCTATGAACCCTGTGACCTGAGTCAACGTCAGTGGCGAGTGATTTTTTTAAATCTGTTCTGGGCCTCCGCAAGGTTGGCTCAGCCTTAAATAAGCACATAGTGTGACGTGTAAAAACATTCCAACTGTTCCCCGCGACGGCCGACAGCTGCGTCGAATGATATCTGAACCGGTCCTGGGGCCTTCCTTATTTTTACCAACCCGCAATAGAACCAGCATGGTGAAGTATGGTCAAAAAACGCCCGTGACCGACGCGGCGTGGGGAAGCCTTCATCCGCTAATGAATGGAGAAAGGGCTACAAATGAGTGTCCATCATCATTTTAATGATTGTTATAAAGATGTCCACACCTTGCCGACCTTCACACAAGGGGCTGACTACCAGGTGATGAAACCTGGCTCTGTGCATTTCTGACCATTTTTACATTTTCATTTATTGTCCTCTCATTCTGCCTCTTGTTGTTTCTTTCACCTCTCCCCCCACCCCCACCCCCCCCCCCCAATACTTTCCCCCGTTTGTGGACTAACACTGCGTTGCCTTCCCTCCTCCTCCTTTTCCACGACATCCCAGTCAAGCCGTCATTCTACCAGAGGCTGAAACAAGCATGTTGCATGTCCACCTCCCCGCGGCACACCGACAGGACGGTGCCGCCCTTCTCGTCCCTCTCTGTTCATGATTTCCCAACCACTTTCCGCACCTGTAAGTTTGACATTCCGCCTGTCCGTCCGTCGCTGTCCCGTCTCGTCCCGTCTTCGCCGCCACGTGCCGTCACGTGATGTCACGCGTGGCTCATGTCGCATGCACTCGCTGTGTTTCGTCGTCCGCCTGCTGATTGGCTCGGCTGTTTGTGTAGAAGGCAGCGCTTGGTAGAACGTCCGAACGGATTTAGTAAAAAAAAATAAACATGTTTTTTTGTTGGCTCTCGGATGTGTTTTCGGGTTGCCACCTACCACGTGTTGTTGGGCTTCGATGTCCGACGTTTCGCGCCGCATCCTCGGAGCTTTTCCAGAGAGTTAATTCTTTAGCAGCGAAACGTCGGGCATCATGTCGTACACCGTGCAGTGCGACTCAAAAGCACAGTCGAATAGCCGTATTGAACAGCCTGCGAACACCTCCGCAGCGATGTTGTTGTTGTTATTTATTTATCCATGGCTAAGCTTTTGTTTTCACTATACAATGGTGTCCTTGTTGTTTTAGAATGCAGTGTACCCCTACGCTCTTGCGAGTGCTTCAACCTGCCGTGAGAAACGTTGCAATTGTGTCCGCGTGACATACGAGACAAAAAAAAAACAGGTTACTTGAAACAATAATAATCATCGGACGGACATTTAGAGGGATGCAAAACTGTGTGCGCTCATTCTCTCGTTTTCTCCATTGTGCTATCCTTGTGCTTTTCCATTTCTGTTCTCTCAACATAACTTCGTGTTTATCATTTTCATTCTTTGCAGCCAAGTACTTTGTTAATGGATTAATCCAATCACGTAAGTTATTTGCTTTGCTTCGTTTCGTTTTTGAAAATGCAACCACTTTGCTTTTTGCATTGCTCTAGAGTTATTGCCCTGCGGCCTGTCGTCCTAACCGCTGCCATTACCTTCAAATAAATAGCACGCAGCACATCTTCTTATACAGTTAACGCAAACCATATGGGCCATGCAGCCTGCCAAGAGAGCAAACGTAGGTTGACCAAAGCCACGTTCACGAGGTGATGGTGCCCCAAAGCTCAAACGAATGTTGGGTGCCACTCATCAAACCTTTGGTGGCCCCTATCCAGTGGAGGAAGTTCCACGTTCCTATGACGGGGGGTGGGGGGCAGTCGCGTCTACGACGAGCTTGACCTCAACATCACTAGATGACTTCGACCCCATTCTGAACTGCTTGCCATGGCCTCGGACAGCGTATAGCTTGGGGGGCTAACACGGATTAGCCCCCCGCTGTACAGTTGCCATAACCTTTTTGTGACGTCCCTCTATAAATGACGAATGAATAACTGCACCAGGGTGGAAGAACGAGTCTGATAATACCCTCTAGAGCTTCCCTGACTGGACGCTCTTTTTACTAGCAGCGGCACGAATCAGCAATTGCAGGGCTGCACCTTTACATTGATGTCTCGGGGTAATTCGTTTACGTTGTTGAAGTAGGCGAGAGCTCAACAGTGTACACGAGTCTCACACTTGCAAGAGCGAGTAACCTGGGTCATCAAAAATAAAATAAAAAGTCAAAATATCTGAGCCACAACTGTCAGATAGCAATAATGGGGAAGTGTGAAGGTATCATGGGTTGAGCGGTAGCGCAGTGGTTAACGCTCTGTACTCGGTGACCCGAGTTAGATTCCTGGCCACAGCAATTGGCTTCTAATTTATCTGCTTTCTTAGATTTTTTTTTTATTCTCCTTCCTTATATTTAAATTATCACATCAGATATTGCTTTTACACATTTTTGTTTAAATTCTGCATTTTTCCTATCGCTGCTGGATGTTTGCTTGTTTATTTTTGCGAGCGTTATCATTTTACCGTTACGTGGAGCCAAATCTGAAGAGCGCACCGCCGCTGAGTTACCTCCGATGCAGCGCATCTCGCACGCCGCCTGTGACCACGCCGTCTCGCCATGAGCAAATCGCCCCTCGTCACCGTGGCAGCGGCGTTCTCCCTACATGCGCCATTTTGGTCTCCTTCCCAAACCGAGTCCCCAGGCCGTGCTACTGGCGTCAGCTCACGGGGCAAAAGAATCCTCACGGAAGCCCTCGGCGCAGTGGCACGAGCCCGTGCGCGAGATATTCGTGCGGAACGTTTTTTTCTTATTCCGACAAACCCTTCACGTGGACAACAGAGGGTGCACCTTCCCCGCACGCTCTGCTGGCACGGGATTTGGTTTTGTCGCATTGACAGCCGACCCAATCCGTGGAGCTGGAGGTTCAAAACCAAATTGAAGACCACTTCTGTGCAGCCTTTGGCGGTGACCGGGGCCTAGACAGTCAGCGCACGAGAACTTGAGAACGCAGTTTTTAAGTAAGGGTAGCCAAGACCCGGATTCGAAATCGGGACTCTTGGTGCTGCTGACTGAGCGCTCTGACCTCTTGGGCCACAGCGGAGGGGGGCCGGGTGACATCTGAGGACTTCTCTGTGCGTTGCGTGTTCACCGGCCTGTACAGCAGCAGTCCACATGTTTTGCATCCCGTGGGGCGTAGATTATCCTGGGGTTTCTCTATCGTACGGTCAAAAAAAACCAATACGGCATGTAACTGGTATGGCAATATGGGCAGTAGAGGGCAGTGCGGTAAGTCATTGTTGTACTGTACTATCAGGGGTGGCCCGTCCATGTAGGCGAACTAGGCGGTCGCCTCGGGCTCCAAGTTCAGTGGGGTGCCAAATTTGAGGGGGAAAAAACCGACAAAAAATACAAATAAAATAACGAAGATGTTATTATTTCAATTCCCGTGCACGTACGAAGGGAATATCAGATGTAATACATTTCTCAACATTTCTGAAAATGTATTGGTTGGACAGATGGATGGATGGACAAAGCGAATCATTATGCATCTGTTTCCCAGTTTACCAAAAACCTCAGCCTGGATCTGCCCTCGGGGTTCAGGGCTCCGATCACATGGTTCGCCCTCGGGCGCCAGTTGCTGGCAGCCAGTCTAGGGCCGCCTCTGTGTACTATACTCCCTCTATGCTGCCCACCTTCACCGAATCCACGTTGACCAGTATGGGGAAGTATGGTCAAACAAACCCGAATGACCTGCATGTCTTGGAGAGGCCTTCATCCACCAGTGGATTGACGAAAGGCTGTTCGTTGACATGTACACGTGTACATGTACACATGGCGACATCCTGCGCTGTGCACATCGTCCAAGGGCGCTGTGTACACGTGTGGGGGGTAGGGTTGCCACCTGTCCTGGTTTTTCTTTCTTCCCAGGATCGTCTCTTTTTCAGCTACCTGCTCTTATCCTGCAAATCCGCCTGTCTCTGTGACGACCGACGCCACTCACGCAGTGACGCGGCGAGCTCCACGAACATCGCTCCGGAGCGAGTTCGTCCCACACCCCGACTCCCCTCTTCATTTCCATCGTTTATCTCTGGACGCGCAAATCGGTTGGCGGTTATCATCGTGCTCCACCTGAAATATTCCACCGTGGCGCGTTGGTTTATTTTATTTTTTTACAGAATCTACATTTTGTTCTTTACAAAGCGCCGGATTACTTTTCTTATTTCCATTGTCCATTGTCCAAAGGAATTACTATGGAGGGACGTGGGGATGTCTCTGTGTGGCAGAGTGGTTAGCACACGGCACTCTGCTCCCCCGTGTCCCGACTTCAATTTCCAACCATTGCTGAGATCAGTAGGGAGTGAAATCTGAACTCGTCCCGAGTCTCCTTGCCTCCCCCACCACACCACGACCACTTCAACTATCACCGACCCGCGTGGTAAAATACGGTCAGACAATCACACAACTCTCAGTAGAGCAGCAAGGTCTTCATGCAGGCAGTGACTTCTTGACAAAAAGAAGATAGGGTTTTGTGTGTTATTGTAATAAATGTAACGTGGCATAAGTTTCTTGAAGTTTGGTCGCAGACGTTCACCTCGGACATTCCCTTACTAACACGTGGCGCATGGCGATAGGGTGGTAGAGCAGTACTAACGGGAATGACGCGACCGCATGCCGACGTCGCCAATGCTTGCGAGTGTGCATGGTCCTCGCTGTTGCCCTTTAACCCTGCTATTCCCCCCCCCTACCCCCCGCCCCCCTCAGTCGATGAGTCCTCAGCTCTCTCTCCCATCAACAAGAAGCAGAAAAACGGAGCGGTCCGAACGACGCCCAATTCGTCGCCACCCCGCGTCATCAGGTAACTCCGGTGACGATCTGCCGGCGCTTCGTTTCTCGCCGAGGAATATTTTCCGGGCCGCTGGTAGACTGCAGCGGGCGGAGAGCAGCAGTCCCTCGGCCTCCTCCAGTCTGGCGGTGACACGCCGCTCGAGCCAACGGTCCGCTAAGGGAAGGACGTTAGCCACGGCGTGGATACCGTGCAGGAGAAATGTGGAATGCGGTGCAGCGTTGCGGCGACGATACACGTGGATACGCAACGACTCGCCAATAGAAATTGATGCGGTGTTGCACATAGAGGACGGGGAGGTTATGGTTAGGGTTGGGGCACATGGGCGGCTGAGGTTTGGTGACCGGTGGTCTGGACCGGATTGGCTTTCGATATGAGACTGGGCCACAAAGGGGGTTTGAATGAAGCCAATTCCAAACGTCGTACTCAATTTGTAAATGTTGTAAATTTACTCTCCAACAAACTGGTGGGCTGAGGTAGTAACTAATTGGCGTTTTGGTTATGTGACAAATCCCTTACTAATTGGCTGTGTCGGGTAATGGAGGGTTACGACACATTTATACTTACGCGATCTAACCCAAAAACCTTTATTACGAATAATATTGGTCGCGAAAGCCCGCGCGTTAAGCTGAAATGAAGCTGATGTATGCATGATTTTCACCTTCCAGAGTTTGCATAAAGCAGATAAGCATAACTGCTTTGTTAAATGTGGCTATGCTCGGTAGCCTGAGAGCTATTCTCACCGTCATGGATGTGTCACTCTGCGTACCAATACACATGCTGCGTAGGCATGACTTGCTGGCCATCCCGGGCACCGAGAAAGCAGAGGACATGGACTGCAACATCAAGAAGTACGACTCGACCGGCATGTTCCACTGGTGTCCATCCCGCGACATCGAGAGGGTTATCCTGGTAGAGAAACACGCACGCATACACACGCACACACACAACAACAACAACCGCCATTCGCCACTAAGTGGCGGTGACGTCACCACGACGCTTGTGCCAGGCCATGTGCACCTTGAGGCCACGTGAAGTGTCGAACGCCCGCTGGCAGGAGGTCACGGGGCAGACCCAGGTGCCACGGGTCGACTGACTGAGACGACTGGCTGATGCACCACCTGTGCCCCCTACTGTGCCAACTTGCTGGGCTTTAGCCACACATACGTACACAAGCACAAAGGTCATCGATTCCCAACGGAGCCGTTAACACTTGCGGTTGGACCTGTTTATGAGCTTATAATGAGTCCTGTATGACACACTAGATGGAGAGACATAGGGACGAACGCAAATAATGCAGTGCGGCTCCAAACATTAGCTGGAGAGCATTCCAAAAGTATTGAGAATTGTCACCGTTTACGAAGTAGTATCGCACACTCACCCGATAAGTTGGCGCAGTCTCATAGGAAAGCGGCTGCCAACGTCTCGGCCTGACACATCCTCCTGCCTCTTGTTGACATCACCTCTTGCACCCCCCCCCCCTGCCCCCCACCAAAGACGCGCAGCGAGGCGTCCATGACGGTGCTGAGTGGCCACGTCGTCGTCTGCATCTTTGGGGACGCCAAGTCGGCGCTCATCGGCCTGCGCAACTTCGTGATGCCGCTGCGCGCGAGCAACTTCCACTACCACGAGCTGAAGCACATCGTGTTCGTGGGCACCCTCGAGTACATCCGCCGCGAGTGGGAGTCGCTGCACAACTTCCCCAAGATCTCCATCATCCCGGTGAGACGGCCCACAGGAGAGAGTTCGCCATTCCGCTCGAGGTCACGGCTGCGAGTTGCGTGCAAGACAGGGACCAGCAAAAATCCGCCCCCCTCTCCCCCGCCCTCACCCACCGTGCAGCCCCGTGGTTCTTCATTGCAGGGCCGGCTGGCCACTCGCGCTCCTGGTGGCCTTTAGTGTGGCCCCTGACGTGGGGGCCTCTCGACAATACACGCCTGATGTTTTATCGGCGAAAGTGCCGCCCACCCCCCACCTGAAAATGGGTGAAGACGACCGATGTAGCCTATGTAGGTTGTTGGACACGAGCGGCTGTTGACGAGCGGCGTATGAAGGCTGGCACGGTGCACAGAGGGGCTGCGAGGAAGCTCCGAGTGGCACGCGAGGCAAAGGCCTCTCGGCACGTGCAATCCGAGCGTGGTCATCTAAGTGGAGCATTCCTTCTGCCGAGCTACTTGAATTGCGGTGCGATCGTCCGGAGGGGTATAATTCGACCGTTGTAGAAGGTGCCCCCGCAAGCGGCCCGTAGGCGGAAGCTTAAGAGGAGATATTCCCCACGCGCTGCCCAACCCGCAAACCCACACTTGGATTACGAGCGACTGCGATGGCATTGCCCGGTAAATCCCCCGTGTGGCCTACGCGGGTTTGTCGGTGCAAGCGCTGTGAGCGAGCGGCCAAAGTGCCTTATGGAGGCCGGCACAGTGCATGAGAGGGTGGTGGAGCCAGCACCACGCCTGACCGCCTTTGTCTTCCTCGTCCTCATGCTTTATACACCGCTCCAGGTACTCGGTTATGGCTGTTGAGTCGACATTATGGGGGAGGGGGGGTGGCTCAGGACCAAGTTTAGATAATCGCCACTGATGTTAACCGTGGCCAGATTTCCAGAAGTGGCGTTGATAAGTTACGCCGCCATAAGTGGCGATACCAACCTGGCAGTTTCTTCACCTCTCTCTCGTTGGGTATTTAATTTTGCAAATACGAGGATACGGATTTGCACACCGAGGGCTGCTAATGCGTCGGCATCCCGAGGCGCGCCGTGCATCACACAGCTCACTCACTGCAGTGCCGAGGGCAACACCCAGTGGCCGGAACGCCTCCATCAACTGGGCGTGAGTCTGCCAGTAGGGGGGGCAATGCTGCTGCTAGGTAACAACCGTATTCATACGCCCATTGAAAAACTGGTGATACATTTTTTTCTTGTCTCATCATTTGTTGCGCAATAATCCTTCGGTGCTCGAGCTCGGCGAGGTGTTTGTCTTTTGTTGTTGCTGCTGCCAGGAACCTTACTAATTCCTACGTCAAAAAACACCCCATATATGTATGGCCAGCTTGGAAGAGCAGGCCAAATACCCTCTGGGTGGGCGGCTCTCCGGAGCTCCCTGCAGTGGAGGCCCTTCTGCCAGCGATGGCTCGAGCAAGGCGGTGACCGTGCCGTCCGCGCCATCCCCGCTGACCCGACCTCTGTACGCTCCCCGGCACAGGGCTCGCCGCTGAGCCGCGCCGACCTCCGGGCTGTCAACATCAACCTGTGCGACATGTGCGTCATCCTGTCGGCGAACCAGAACAACATCGAGGACCCGTCCCTGCAGGACAAGGAGTGCATCCTCGCTTCACTCAACATCAAGTCCATGCATTTTGACGACAGCATCGGCCTTCTGCAGGCCAACTCTCAAGGTGATCGCGCTGGACACCACTGGGCCCCTGAGCCTGACGGGGTTTGGCTGGTTGGTCGGTACCACCTGTGGTTGCCAGCGCTACTACAAGTGTCCACCACGGGTAGTGTCCACCACGGCAGTGTCCACCACGGCATTGTCCACAGTGTCCACCACAGTGTCCACCACGGGTAGTGTCCACCACAGTGTCCACCACGGGTAGTGTCCACCACGGGTAGTGTCCACCACAGTGTCCACCACGGGTAGTGTCCACCACAGTGTCCACCACGGGTAGTGTCCACCACGGGTAGTGTCCACCACGGGAAGTGTCTACCACGGGTAGTGTCCACCACAGTGTCCACCACGGGTAGTGTCCACCACAGTGTCCACCACGGCAGTGTCCACCACAGTGTCCACCACGGGTAGTGTCCACCACAGTGTCCACCACGGGTAGTGTCCACCACGAGTAGTGTCCACCACAGTGTCCACCACAGTGTCCACCACGGTTAGTGTCCACCACAGTGTCCACCACGGGAAGTGTCCACCACGGGAAGTGTCCACCACAGTGTCCACCACAGTGTCCACCACAGTGTCCACCACGGGTAGTGTCCACCACAGTGTCCACCACGGGAAGTGTCCACCACGGGAAGTGTCCACCACAGTGTCCACCACAGTGTCCACCACAGTGTCCACCACGGGTAGTGTCCACCACAGTGTCCACCACAGGAAGTGTCCACCACAGTGTCCACCACGGGAAGTGTCCACCACGGGTAGTGTCCACCACAGTGTCCACCACAGTGTCCACCACGGGAAGTGTCCACCACAGTGTCCACCACGAGTAGTGTCCACCACAGTGTCCACCACGGGTAGTGTCCACCACAGTGTCCACCACAGTGTCCACCACGGGTAGTGTCCACCACGGGAAGTGTCCACCATAGGTAGTGGTGCAACAATCCACCTAACTCCTGCATACAAGCGAACTGATGTTATATCGTTCCATCTGTCGCGGTGGACGTACCCTAGGCTATGTCCTCTCCCGTGGCTGCCTCTCTCTCCGTTGTCTGGACCACCAGCCGTCCCCTCTCCCAGCGACAGCTATTGCGCAAGCCCGCACTGTCCTTCACCATCAACGTGGCCTTTAAGTTGCGCGCCGTTCCTTATTCGTGTGCTCCTCTCTGTGCCGCTCGTGCTTTCACAAAAGTTACACACGCAAAGAAAAGAAGAACATTTGATTCCAATTGCGCCTTTTGTCATCATGCCACTCATTTGAGATACGGGCATTTAAAACTCCCACGGGAACGATGCACGGGTCGCGTGTGTTAGAGGACGATGATTTTCTCACGCGCGTGAACCCCGAGCGCTCATTAATGACATTGGCCAAACATCTCAAACAATCCAGGGAGCCGAGTCCTGGGACGCACTCAGCGTGGCCTTCATGAGTAAATAATTGTATTTAGTATTATTGTATTATTATGATAGTAAAATGCTAATGAAGATGGTAGTGGTACTGGCATGTTTTTTAGATCTCTTGGAGCACCACTGCCAACTCGCTTCTTCCGCCGCTCGCCGCCGTTCACTTTAGGAATTTGTGCCGCGTTTGGTTCTGATTTTGACTCAAATTGACTTTGCGCCGTGCCGCTTAGTCCCGCGTCGAAATCTGATAATTCCTCGTCGAGCGGTAACATCTCTGTGTCAAACAAAACGCGACAGTCTCCGCAGAGAGATTCAATAGTCATGTAATTGGAAACTTTTCCTTAATGTGCTTTGTCACACATTGCAGCCTCGGTGTGTTCGTTAAGGGCATGCGTATGTGTGTGTTTGTGCATGTACATCAGAAACTGCACGTGTGTCTGCGCGTGTCTCCGTTTGCATGTGCTTCTTGCTCGGGCAGAGCGCTTAGCTCACTGCACTACGAAACTGGCGACCTGAGTTCTATTCCCGGCCACTGCTCACATCAGTAGCGGGTGATTTTTGAACCTGGTCTGGGCCTCCCCTAGGTTGACTCAGCCTGAAATACGTACCTCGCATGACGTGTAAAATATCACAACTGGGGAGATAAAGGCGGCTCGGGTATTTCCGCTGACCACCCTGCAACCTTGTCGTGCACCATACCGGCCCTTAATAGGTGCTCGCTAACATCACTTGCCCCAACAGTCTGTTCAGGGCTCTCCGGGGAGTGTTTGTGGGCAGTTGGGCAGCAATTTGGGGGGGGGCGTTTGCTGCGAGGGTGGGCATGTGGTCGGGGTGCAATGTGGAAAAATAAATAACCTGCACATTTTAGAGCGTGTTAACAGCAAAGATAATTAACGTTGTCATCCGGCGAGAGGAGCATTTTGCATGGGCTGGCTGCACGGAACTGGAGATAAACAATCTGGGCCCTTGCAAACGCGTGTGAACGATCGCCCTCCCTCTCTCTGCACGCTGCTGATGAATCGGCTGTCTCCTGGCTTGGCAAGACGAGCACACGATACTCACCATCATAAGGGGCCGACCATAAATGACGTCACGCACCAAGGGGGGGGGGGAGGGTCAGACATTTGTGACGATGTATGAAGAGGGGGGGGGGGTGAGAAATGTGACGTCACATCAAATGCGCAACTTTAAATAAATATAGAATTGTTATAACAACACTAATTGTTATAAGAAAACTCCTACAACATCAGAGTGCAGCGCCACAATAAATACGCACTACAATGGCAATAGTTTAAAGCGATTTGAAGCACGTTTTATTTTGGGGGGGGGCAGAGCTTTGTGATGTCATATTTGAGGGGGGGGTCCGACTTTTTGTGATGCCGTGTGACTAGGGGGGGGGGGGTCAAAAATTGTCCAAAATCGCGTGACGTCATACAAATAGTTTCGGCCCCCCACGAACCCCGCGCTGAGTGCAGCGATTCCGCGCGACCGCTAGGGGGGGCTCGCGCTGGGTCCGGGCCCCCACCCACCCACCACCCGTTGCGGCCTCGCCGTGCCCGGCTCCCGTCAGATCCTCCCGAGAAGCTAAAGGCGCAGCCCCTGAAATGTCCCACTCGCGCAGCTGCTGGCGGAAGAGCCCCTCTAGTTGGTTCGATTCGAGTTACTGTACTTGGTGAGGTACTAAACGGTACTTTACAAAAGTCAGATTGTATAAACTACTCCCCTCTCATGCCTACCCCATCCCTGCGGGCATCCATGCCCCCCAACAATACATTATTGACCCGCCGGTCACCGCTGGCTCAGAGTCACGTGCTGTCGAGCTGGCTCCACCGAGCGGCTGGGTTCGAATCCAGGCAACCGCCTGGGTTTTGACACCGGGTTCTCAAGGGGAGTGCATTGATGGTCTCAGACCGGTCACCAATGACTGCAGACACACACACGCCACAATAATCACATTTAATATTTGGTTCCGCGTATAATTTTTGCTAAAAAATCCAGCTCTAGGAATTAAAATATCGGCTCGACTATCACGCGGAAAATGTCACTCCCGGAGCGTCCACTTGCAGGTATCTCAAGAGGTAGCGTCGCAACATCCGCTTCACTGGGCCCTTGTCCACAACACGAAGCGTTGCACCGCTTCGCGAGAGACCTCGAGCGACAACGTCGGCGCGTCGCGACGTGACGCCGACAGCGCCATCGAGATTAAATATCGGGCGATGTGTAGGGCGGCGGCGGGGGGGTGGGTGCTTAGTTGGTAGCGTGCACTCGCGGTTTTGGTGCCGCGGTTCTCCGTGGATGCGTGCGTTCCCCCGTAGCCTGCCGCCCTGCGACACTCACCGGGCCACCGGGCCAGCGGTGCACAGCGGTGCACAGCGGCAGCAGCGGCAGCAGCGGCGACAGCGCAGCAGGACCGGCCCTCTCCGTGTGCGGCGCGTTTCCACGTTATTACGTTTGCCCGAGTGCGGTTTGCCGCTTGCCAGCCTCGATCAGATCACAGCGCCGCCGTTCACGGTCATGTGATATGACAAAAAAGGTCATGTGATTTGACAGATGTTATCTCACGCAGACCGCATTTTGTCCGTGCGGATTAATGTCTCCAAAAATATATAAAGGGCTCTACATGATTTATAGGCACGCGATTTTTCGCCGATTTGCATTGAATTTCATGCATTTGTAATGATTTATCTTAAAACTCCGCCTGAAAGTTTTTCATAAAAAATCGCATTAAATATTGAAAACGGCGTTGGGAGCAGGAGAATGGGCATGGGGGTGTGCACGGTGCTGCTGTTAATTCATCCTAAATGCCGACAAACCAACCACACGTGCAGCAGCAGCAGCCGCACAGCTGGTAAGCAGTTGCGGAGAGACGACGCCCTCTTCTTCGAGTCTCAGACGGCACAACAAAAACACACGAGGAAGAAATCTACAAGTTATTGGCGATTTTTATGTCGTTTCATTTCGACTGCGTTTAGCGCTCTTACGCAACGCACCGCGGCGAGCCGAGTTCGATACCCGGCCACGGCTAAGATCAGTGAATCAGACGCTGTCTCCCCGACAGACCTGTTCTTCACCTGAGGACGGCTGCTTGCGTTGTGGCCGAAACGTCGTGAGAATTATTTTATAATGTTTTATTTTTATTATTTTATTACTTCCCTTCTACGTGACTTTACCGAAAGAACCAAGAAGATCAGTGAACCAGGTCTGCCCTGCACCACCCATCTCCGCGCTCCACCAGCCCGCACTGACCATCGTGGTGATGAATCCACACCCACGGAGCGTGGGGGTGGCCTTCCTCCAGCAGTGGACGGACTCAGGGCAGTGGTTTATTATGACCGCTCCGTGGCGTTAGGCAAGAGTCGTGGGCACGTCCAGCACAGTTCACAGGGTGCGCGTCCAACGTCTCCCACGTCCAGTCAGGTACACAACGCGCCTCTGCCTCCAGCGGGTCTGGGTAGCCCCGCGTCACCCGCGCAGACAAAGAGGTGGATTATGACGAGATGCGGCAGCAGCGACACGCAGAGAGAGCGAGAGGCCCCTCCTGGCTCCGAACCCGGCTCTGATATCGGAGTTCAAGAGCCTCCACCCAGCTCCGCAGCTGACACTAATTACACGACCCCCCCCCCCACTAGTAATTATGATGGGCATCTGAACATCCCCGAACCAGTATGTCCTCACTCCCCCCCTCCCTCCCCTCATATCTTTCCCTGCTCCTTCAATTCTCGTTCATTACAGGTGTACTCATTTACAGCGCTCACGCAGCACGAACACACACAAAGCCTCGCACGCACTAAACGGTGCCTTGGTAGTGCAGCAGGTACAGCCACAGTCACAAGGCACCCACAGTCCCCGTTAATTACATTTCATTCCCTCGACTAATGGTGGTTCCTCGTTGAACAAAACTCACTCGGAATGTGCCCGATCTCAATCCACGAAGCTCCCTGTCAAAGCCCGCAGTCAACCTTCACTCGGCAGGAGGTCGCTCCATTCTCCTCTGCTGCTCCCCATAGTCTGGAACTCGGTACAACCCAGCCATCCGTGCTGTCGACTCCATGCCCCCTCTTCGAGTCTAGGTGCAAGAAGTTAGATGGGAGGGGAGAGGTAGGAGAGTGCGTGGAGGAGAGAGTAGAGTGAGATGGGAGGGGAGAGGTAGGAGAGTGCGTGGAGGGGAGTAGAGTGAGATGAGAGGGGAGAGGTAGGAGAGTGCGTGGAGGAGAGAGTAGAGTGAGTTGGGAGGGGAGAGGTAGGAGAGTGCGTGAAGGAGAGACTTAGGCAGAGACGAGTCAATGTAGATCTTTAAGATGCTGAATGCGATCTTGAATTTGATCCACGACTGGAGTGGTTGGAGTGATCAGGGTGTTGGCATGAGGCGGCCCCGCTTACGGGCGAGGCTGATCCGCCAGTGGACATGTTGATCATCTCTAGTTGGGTGGTGAGGAATCGGGTGGGTGAGGAATGTGGAGAGAGGTGAGGGTTTGGGGGATGGCTCGAGACGCGTGGAGGTGAGGCATTTCGAGGTGGACCATGGGACGAGTCTCACAAGCTCGCCACCGTCCTTGCGCTGCCGTGCGTGGTTTCGGGGTTGAACCCAGGTTGCCGGCTATGCAACTGCACACCGACGACAAAGATCCCCCGTATAGCCTACACAGACTGTTGGGGCAAGTGCTGTTAGCGAACACGTATGAAGGCCGGCACGGCACACGAGGGAGTGGGTGGCCAGCACCACGCCCGACCGCCTTTGTCTTCGTCGTGGCGCTGTTTATACACCGCACCTGATACTCATTAGAGGCTGAGTCGATCTAGGGGAGGCCCAGAACCGGTTCAGATAATCGTCACCTTCGTAGCGCAGCGCGTTAACCGCTGCACTACCGCTTCCCTCCCCCCCACACACCTGTACACACACACGCGCACACACGCGTGCGCACACACACACGCGCGCACACACACGCACACACACGCGCACACACACACACACGTGCACACACACGCGCACACACACACACGTGCGCACACACACACGCACACACACGTGCACACGCACACACACACACGCACACACACACGCGCACACACACACACACGTGCACACACACACACACACGCACGCGCGCGCGCGAGGCATCTCCGCACCCCACCACCGCGTGGCAATCAAAACCATTTCTTCAGCACGGGGCCCGACGGGAGGGAGTTGTCAGCCCGATTCGAGCAGGGGGCCCTTACTCCCCTTACTCCCCTTACTCCCCGATTCAAGCTGACACATATTCGTGCCCTCGGGCGAGCCAATCACTGGGGACAGAAATGGCTCCGAAGCAAATTCCATTAAGGTTTGTCTGCGAACATATTTAATGACTTGTATTCTGTTCCATTGGCAGAAGGTGACTGCCACGGCACCATAGCGCGTGTCGCGGTGCCTCTTTCCATTTTCTCGGCGTGCGCCCCATCGCTCGCACGCCCCCCCCCCCCCCCTCTCACGTATTCTCAGTGTCTTGCCGACATTGCTGCCCCCTGAAGAAAGATTAAAAAACCCACACACGCAAACTCGTCTCGTGCTCGCCCGCCTTGGTCTTGCTCTGCTGCCCCTGATTCCACGTCGCGGTAACGAGCCACGCGGCCTTGTTTCCCCGAGAGCTGAGACGTGCTCCCGAACGTGACGCGTCGACACGGAAACATTCGTCTACTCGTGTTCTATGGGTCTTTCGGGAAAGCCACGTAGATAGAAAAATAATTTTAAAAAATATCACGACGTTTCGATCGCAACACAAGCAATCGTCTTCAGGCGAGACGATTGCTTGTGTTGCGATCGAAACGTCGTGATATTTTTATTATTATTTTCCTATCTACGTGGCTTTACCGAAAGACCCATAGAAAATGTATTACTGCAATCACGAAAGCTTTAAGTCAAGATTCGTTTCCTCTTTTGCGGTTGTGACGATTGAACCAACGATTGCACTTCCAAATCGGTTTCTTCTTCTTTTTCTTCGCATTCTTCTCCTCCAACTGGACATCTGTGAACAAGAGCTTCATAGCCCATCGGATTTGTCCAGTCTGATTGACGTTTCTGATTCCGAACCGAGTCGCTATGGTTTCTCCGCACGGGTACGGTGATTGCGGCAGTAGGGGAGCGGTGGTGTAGCGGTTAGCGCGCTGCGCTATGAACCCGGCGACACGGGTTCGATTCTCGCTCACGGTCAACACCAGGGACGATTATCTGAACTGGTCCCGGGCCTCCCCTAGGTCGACTCAGCCTCAAATGAGTACCTGGTGCGGTGTGGAAACATTGCCACTGGGGAGACAAAGGCGGTCGGGCGTGGTGCTGGCCACCCACCCCCTCTTGTACCGTTCCGGCCTTCATAGGTGCTCGCTAACAGCACTTGCCTCTACAGTATGTTAAGGCTATTTGGGGGATCTTTGCTTTTTTTGTCTGTGTAAGACGTTAAGAGGTAAAGTGGGTAGCGGTGATGTAGCGGTGAGCGCTACGCTGCGCTACAAACTCGCCGACCCGAGTTCGGTTCCTGCTCATGGCCAACACCGGTGACGATTTTCCGAACTGGTCCTGGACCTCCCCTAGGTCGACTCAGCTAAAACGGATACCTGGTGCCTGTGTGTAAACTACACCACTCGGGAGACAAAGGCGGCCGGGCGTGGTGCCGGCCACCCAGCCCCTCGTGTGCGTGCCGGCCTTCATGGGTGCTCGCTAACAGCACTTGCCCCAACAGTTTGCTAAGACTATACGGGGGATCTTTGTCCGTTTCAAAGTAGGTGGTGTTTTGGCTAATGACCCTCCTTCATCGAAGGGTGCAGTAGAGTTACGAAATGTGGCGACTTCAGCGGTTGTAAGGATATCGCCACGCGCTGTCAGTGGGTGTAAATACGTCACTCAGTTCCACGATTACCCCCGGGTGTGATGATGTCATTCAGCTGGTGCGATGTGTCGCTTAGCTCCGGCTATTTCAAACCCGTGTGACTATGACTTCACCAAGCATAATAATTCCCCGGCTACGATTTCTTAACTCGCTGTTATGGTTATCACCCCTGGTGTAATAGGGGTGTGTAGTTGGAGTAGAAATATCCGTGTTTGTAACGATATCACTTGTTCACTTGATATCACTGGTTGTAGTGATATATCTCACAGTAATCATATCCCAAGTTGTATTGATTTCTATAATCGTAACCATCTCACCGGTTTGAACGACCTCGCTGGGTGCGCTGCTGCTGCTGTTGTGCGGTTGACCCTGCAGGGTTCACTCCGCCCGGCATGGATCGCGCTACCCCGGACACAAGCCCCGTGCACGGTCTCACACGGCAGCCCTCCGTCACCAACGGGTCCGGAGTACCAATGATCACCGAGCTCGGTACGTGACCGCGCGCGCACACACACACACGTACACACACGTACACGTACACACACACGTACACACACACGTACACACACACACACACACGTACACACACACACACGTGCACACACACACGTACAAAGACAAAGACAAAGATCCCCTGTATAGCCTTAACAGACTGTAGGGTCAAGTGCTGTTAGCGAGCACCTATGAAGGCCGGAACGGCACACGAGGTGGTGGGTGGCCAGCACCACGCCCGACCGCCTTTGTCTCCCTAGTGGCAATGTTTACACAACGCACCAGGTACTCATTTGAGGCTGAGTCGACCTAGGAGAGGCCCGGGACCGGTTCAGATAATTGTCACTGATGTTGGCAGTGAGCGGGAATCGAACCCGTGTCGCCGGGTTCATAGCGCAGTGCGCTAACCGCTACACTACCGCTCCCCGTACACACACGTACACACACACACGTACACACACACACACGTACACACACACACGTACACACACACACACACACGTACACACACACACACGTACACACACACACGTACACACACACGTACACACACACGTACACACACACACACGTACACACACACGTACACACACACCCGTACACACACACGTACACACGGCACTTGTGTATGCAGTATACGACACAGGCAAAGATCCCCTCTACAGCCTTCAATAGGCTGTTGGGGACAAGCGTTGCTCTCCGTGAATGCCGATGAAGGCCGGGATGGCACACGAGTGGATAGGTGGCCAACAGCACACCCGGAGTGACCTAACCACAACCACATCTGGAAGGCAGTTTTCGTATTTGGAGAGGGTGGAATTGACGTGATGGGATGTGTCGAGTTGTATGGGTTGAGCAGTGGCACAGTGGTTGGTGCGCTGCACTGTGAACTTAGAAACCCGAGTTTGATTTCCAGCAATGGCTAGCAATCAGTGGCGAGCGATATTTTAACCAGTTCCGGATTCTTCTCCAACACCAAACCACACTGACCAATGCGTTGAAGTCGAGTCGATGAAGCCCGACGGACTTGGATGACAAGCTCGTAATGGTGCGTGCTGTGTGTGAGCCCTGAAGAAGCACCACACTCACCCTGACATCTCTCTCGTTACCAACGCTACCCCCTCCCCGCCCGCCCACCCGTCTCGTCACACTCGCTCTCGTCCTTTCGCCCTCCCGTGCCTTACTCTCCCTCCCTCCCTGCGCTGGCCTGCCCTGCTTGCCCTTCCTGCCTCCCTCCCTCCCCTCCCTGGCCTGCCCTGCCTCCCTCCTCTCCGTCGGCCGGTGTCGCCCAGTCAACGACTCGAACGTGCAGTTCCTGGACCAGGATGACGACGACGACCCCGACACGGAGCTGTACCTCACGCAGCCGTTCGCCTGCGGCACCGCCTTCGCCGTGAGCGTGCTCGACTCGCTGATGAGCGCCGTGAGTAGGAGGCCTACAGACACGCCCCCCCCCCCCAGCTTGTACGAAGGCGTGCACGGGCACATTACGTAGACACATCACGTAGACACATCACACGGATATGTACTTACAGCACTGGCTCGCAGACTGAACCGTCTCGCGCGCACGCGGAGACAAAGATCCCCTGTGTAGCCATAACGGCCTTCGACAGGTGCTCGCTCGCAGTACTCGCCCCTAAAAGTCTCTTCAGGCACGCACGCACACACATGCACACACGTGCATATATAGTACCATATACGTATGCCAGCACACGATTGGACATTCTTACACACATATGAGTGCATACTTGCACACGCAAAAAAAGACAAAGATCCCCCGTATATCCTTAACATACTGTTGAGTCAAGGGTTGTTAGCGAGCATCTATGAAGGTTGGCACAGCACACGAGGGGGTGGGTGGCCAGCACCACGCCCGGCCGCCTTTGTCTCCCTTGTGGCGACGTTTCCACATTAGTCGTCGGAGCGTACAGAGTGTCCACGCAAACACCAGCTGCAAATCGGCCCCGTTGATTCCTGCACGAGAGATTTGATGCACGTATTATAAGCATGAGAATCATCACAAATCGATGCTTCTTCTTCTTCCTAGCGTTGTTCCCGCTGTGGCGCAGGGTCCGCTTTTCGGCATTGTCTTCTCCATTTGGCTCGGTCCAGGGCATCTTCAAGGGATGCGTTGACCGTCTTTATGTCTTCCTTTATTCGATCCATCCATCGCTTCTTCGGACGTCCGCGTGGACGGCGGCCCTCTGGCTCCAAAAAATATCCACACCACTACAAATATCCATGCATCATCGGGGTCGGGATCGAACTCATGACCTGTATACCAGGCAAGGTAGTTAACATCTTGCCACGGGGATGGCGTGACTCTAGAGCATCAACAGTGGTGTGAATCTATAGTCCTAGGCACTGTAAACCCGGACTCGAGGAGGGGCATGGAATCAACAGCACGGATGGCTGGGTGATACCGAGTTCCAGAGAGTGGTGGCAGCGGAGGAGAATTAGCGACCTCCCGCTGAGCGGATTATTTTGGCGCAGCGATCAAACCGCTCCAACTTTGCAAACTGCTGCCGCGGGCAGGTTTCTTCCCGCCGGCGCGGTCATTTGTTTTCCGTGCGAAATGCTCCGCACTCGAGCTGATGGGAGCTCCGCGTTTTCCTGGGCCATCTGACAACGGGTCGCTCGTGTGGTGTGCCTCGTTCCTGTCGCGTCCCGCTGCGCCGTTCCTACTGCTGTCCCGATCAGATTTAAACGCGTTTCTTTTTTTTTTGTTGCAATAAATTACAAATAATTACACCCCGCCGTCTGACAGGCAGCCCCGGAACTACAGGGATGCCTCTAATTAGGGATTCCTGGGAGGTCTCGCCAGTCGAGATGAATCGGTAATAACTGCCATGAATTCAGGTTGCAACCTTGCCGCCTTAACTCTTAACGCCGTGATGTCGAGAGCCCGCGTTGCTTTGGTACCGGGCGCACGAATTCGCACAAATTAAACCGCGATTCTGGCCGGCCACCCGCGTGTCCCCCTTGTGCCGTCTGACGGAAAATCGCGTCGCTCCAGGCGGCGCGGTAACGGTTCGCCGTTTTTACGGAGCGCCTACGATCGCGGTGGCCGAGACTGCCGGTGTGTCGTCGGCGTTTTCGGACTGGCGGCGCGGCCTTCCGGGATAAATGAGTACAGTAATTACTCTGGCTATTAACACCACCACCCCCTAGCCATACTTGACCGCGCGCTGGTCAGTGCGCGTGGGTCAATGCGGGGAGCACGGACGCGAGAGAAATGGAAGTGCAGCACCAGCGATGGATTTTTTTACCGATATATTTCCCCCCCTCCCCGAATGGCACCGCTTCTGACGATTAAGATAATTCGGAAGTGTCGACTGTGAGGTTGTAGCTTCCTTAGAGGTGGGCCCAGTCAGGGTTCATTTCCAACCGGGTCTGTCCGGGTCGGCAGTCTGGAATAATATCCCTGTGCCCGGCACACTGCGCCCGGTATCCCTCTCGCTACGGCTGCGGCTACTGCTTGCCACGTGCGACCCACTCCCAAGTCTCATCGGTGACCCGGAGTTGTGATGCTGCCTTCTGTAGGCCGGCCCTGGTCGAGTCCAAAGCAAGAGCCAGAGCTGTGGGTCAGCCGCTCTGAGCGTGCATAACGCGAGGCCAGCCGAGTGAGCGTTAACGGGAGCTCCATGACGATAAGCTAACCGGACAGCAGTTTTGCCAAAGTAAACCCTAACTGCGAGCGGAGTAATGAACAACCGTGCTACTGCCACCTTGCGTTACCGACGCACGCCTCGCCAGCCTGTCGCTCCGTCTGAGTTTCTCCAACCTCTCCCCACTCTCCCACCCACTCCCACCACCACCCTCCGCCCCCCCCCTGCCCACGTCTCGCCTGCTGCAATGTAAATGGATTCAGAGTTCAAATTGCGAGCGTTTAAGTGACGCTGTGCAAATCGCAATCAACTCTCGATCGCCCGTGGTGTCGTCTCCATCCACGGAATTAATTACGAATCAAAATGTTATTAACACCGTCACACAATGGACCTCATCTAGCAGTGGATCGACAGAGGGCTGTTGAAAACCATAGCGGAGTGGTACAATGGTAGCGCAGTGCTGCACGATGAACCTCGCCATCCGAGTTCGATTCCCTGCAGTGGCTAACATCAGTAGCGACCACTGCCCATTCCCAACCCACACTGATCCATGTGTGGTGAAGTAGGGTCAAACAATCCGCCACGATCGACACGGAGTGTGGACGCCGCCTTCGTCCAGCGGACTGATATACAAAGAGGCAGTAAAGATTGTGGTCAACATTTCTTGCACGATGAAAACGGGTGTACGAAAATAAAATAACAAAATACACGAATAACAGCGTCATTGTCGGCAGCACAGCGACTGAGTGTGGTCTTTACGGGGCAGATGATGGCAAGAGATGAGAACACATCACACGCCGCTCTGAACTTAAGTGCATCCATCATCGAGACGATTATGCCCTCGCCATTCATGTACACACGCGCGCACGCACACACACACAAGCTGTAAGCTGTGCTGCTTCAGGGGCAGGTGAGAGGAGGTCGCACGGTGAGCTGGCACGCCTGAGATCCTGGGCCCAGATCCACGCAGCCACCTGTCATTAAACCGGGTTCTCGAGTCTAGTGAGGTGATGGTTTAAGCGTGGTCACCAATGACTGTCGCGTTGAATCATGTGGATACAATTCCGTCTGTGATGACATTAAAAAAAAAATCGCTTTGACTGCAATACAACAAACAATATCATTGGCAGAGTGCATGGCAAAGCACCGCTCCCTGCTGTGTGCACCGGAGGTCACTCGAAGGGATCTCGGCACTAGTTCTGTGATATCCGCTTCCACGGATCGTTCTCTAAACCGCGACAACAAAGGGATGTAAATTTAATTAAATATAAAACACGCAATATAGTCCAAGGGCTCATTTTCAGGAGGGTCCTACTCCTGCTGCTACATTGGGTTTTTATTTTCAGATGTTTTAAGCCAATTAACGACGAGCTGTGTTCATTATGCAAGCCGGAGGAAACCGGAGCCCATAGAGAAAATCCACACGCCCGAGGGGAGAGGCAGCCCTCTACCCCCTCACGAATCTAAACCGATGGCGTTTCGTCCACTTGCTCTACTGCCTTTTCTTGGCAAGCCAGGGAATTGCACTCCTGCGGGAAGGGAGTTTCACAACGTCTATGCGCGGTGATCCACCAACCCTCGCTGCTGCAGCCTCCACAGCGCTCGACTACAGGCAGCCACGTGCAGCAGCAGCAGCGTAGCCACCGCCAGCATCGCCCGGGCCTGCAGCCTCTCGTGGTGCCGTGGACGATTTTTTGCGAGAGCGTGTCCCCTGTCCCCTTGGCTGCGTCCGACTGTTTCTAGCACGGCACGAGCGCCGCGGTGACGTCGCCGCCACTTGGAAGCGATCGGCGGCTGTCGGGGTACTGGAATACGCGCATCGCTATCTTGTCGAGCGCTCGAATTGATGGGTGGCTGACGGATGATCGAACGACTGCGATTCTTTCGGCGGCGCTCGTCGGATGCCGCTCGCCGATTTTACCGCTCGCGGAGCTAATGGCCGCGTACGCTCCCGCAGACGTACTTCAACGACAACACGCTGACGCTGATCCGCACGCTGGTGACGGGAGGAGCCACGCCCGACCTCGAGGCCCTGCTGGCGGAGGAGAACGCCCTGCGCGGCGGCTACAGCACGCCGCAGACGCTCGCGAGCCGCGACCGCTGCCGCGTGGCGCAGTTGGCGCTGTCCGACGGGCCCTTCGCTGACCTCGGGGTACGGCCCCCGCGCACGCACACACGCACACACGCACACACGCACACACACGCACACGCACGCATGCACGCACACACGCACGCACACACGCACACACACACGCACGTACACGCACGCACGTACACGCACGCACACACACACGCACGCACACACGCACACACGCACGCACACACGCACGCACGCACACACACACGCACACACGCACACACACGCATGCACACACGCACGCACACACACACGCACGCACACGCACGCACACATGCACGCACGCACGCATGCACACATGCACGCACGCACGCACACATGCACGCACACACACATGCACGCACACACATGCACGCACACACGCACGCACACACGCACGCACTCGAGGATTCCGTTACGCCGTGAACCATCGCGGCGTTGACTGCTCTGGCTGTGCGGCGTTCCTCGCTAATGTGCGGTGTGCGTGTGGCAGGAGGGAGGCTGCTACGGCGAGCTCTTCTGCAAGGCCCTCAAGACGTACAACATGCTGGCCTTCGGGATCTACAGATTCCGAGACGCCCACCTCAGCACCAACAGCCCGTCACCCAAACGGTGAAGCCTGCGCACCCCCTGCCCCTCCCCCCACCCCCCATACAATACCCTCCCACGCACGGCCGGCATCATCTTCATTATCATCAGCCATGTTCTATCCACTTCTGGGTGAAGGATTCGGCATCCCCCCGCGGTCGCGCGATGCGGAAATCCGCACGAGTTGTTCTCGTCGCGCTATCGCGGTGGCGGCGTTAGAGGAGGGCGTCCTCGCGGGGCGCGATCCCTCCCTTGGCTGCCACTCCGGCGCTAGCCTCGACCGCTGGCCATCCTGTGGCTCATCGCCACGTGACTGCCTTCCCGCTCGTCTGCGGTTACCCAGAACCTCCGAGTCGTTCTCTCTCTACGAATATGAGCGTCGCATTACAAGTTGAAATTATGATACATATCGTGACCGTTATCATCCCTTCTAGCGATGTGTTCTGCCGCAGCCCACTTGTGTACACGCGCCGTGCTTACCAGAGTGTGTTCGGGCGATCTCTACCGGGGGCGGACAAATCGCGGCTCATAAGCGGCGCGTCCCCCCCCCCCCCCACTCCGGGCCATTCCAGTGCGGCTCCAGTGAGACGAGGATGATTTGTAACTTTTCAACGGGACCTTAATTTCAAAGAAAAAAATTTTGCGGAAGCGGCAGAGGCCCCGGGGGCACTCGCCCACCTGGCAGCGGAGCCACACACGAGTTCACCTGGAGCGCTGCCACAGATTTCTAAAGTACAAAGCAGGCGACCGGCGCGAGAGCGAAACGCCGGCGGCTCGTCGGCTCGTGACGTTGGCCGCCGGTCAACAACGACCACGACCGCCCGGCACACTCCTCGCCCCCCCCACCCCCACCCCACTGAGTTACGCGCGTTCCTCTCCCGCGGGTCGCCGCAGCTACGTGATCACCAACCCGCCCTACAACTTCGAGCTCTTCCCGAGCGACCTCATCTTCTGCCTCATGCAGTTCGACTTCAACGCGAGCCAGCCGCGCGGCTCGCACTCCTTCACGGGCAAGCACACCGCCTCGCTGCACTCCATCTCCTCGGCCACGTCCCGCCACAACAAGCCCAGGGCGAGGGATCCCAAGGCCAAGTGAGTGCCGGGTGCCCTGCTGGGCCCCCCAGGGCGTGATGTGGGGTGGGGGTGGCGGAGGGCCTCTATCTCTTCCTATATATATTTTAAAAAATATCGCGTAACGGTCGGAGCACTTAACTTGCAATGTGGACGTCGCCAATTCTCATTTCTCTAACACTGCTTTTTGTGTTTAGTTTGTTGTCCTTGCCCCAGCACCTCCGATTAGCACGGTTGGCTACGTACGGTGCGAATGAAGTTAAACGTACAGACGCACAGTTCGATTTGATCTCCCGGAGTGGCAGTCCTCCTAGCCGCTCACCTGAATCGATGGGTGCACCATCACCGTGAGTGAATGTGGGGTCAAATGTGGTTACCTCCCACCTCTTCCAAGTCGTATGGCCCAGGTCCCGCGCTTTGACGAATAAGGGAATTGTACGGGAGAGCCCATTTTATTCATCCAATGGACAGTCAACTACAGTGGTTTACTCTTACTTGTCCATCCGATGTTACACGAAGACCTTCGGTTTCCGGACCGCCCTGCATGTTGCTCCACCTTCTAAGGAACTCGGGAACTCCCTGAATAACTCAGGAGCTCAGTTCCTGAAGAAGCTCCCAGCACGTGAACGTCGGACATCGTGCCGAACCAAAACATCGCGGCACGAGCCAAGACCCCATCGGAGAGCTACGCGGCAGCGCATCGGGGAAAACCTCGGCGGTCGTTGCGCTGCTACCCTGTTGTTTCCCTCACTGCCGGTGGCCTAACCTCGTCTTCCGTGCCGCCCTCTGTTGCGTGTGTGTGCGTGCGCGTGTGTGCGTACGCGTGTGCGTGCGTGTGTGCGTGCGTGTGTGTGCATACATGTGTGTGCGTGCGCGTGTGTGTGTGTGTGTGCGTGCACGTGTGTGCATGCGCGTGTGCGTGCATGTGTGCATGCGCGTGTGTGCGTGCATGTGTGTGTGCGCGTGTGCGTGCGTGTGTGCGTGCGCGTGTGTGCGTGCATGTGTGTGTGCGCGTGTGCGTGCGCGTGTGTGCGTACGCGTGTGTGTGCGTGCGTGCGTGCGTGTGTGTGCATGCGTGTGTGCATGCGTGTGTGTGTGTGCGTGTGTGTGTGCGTGTGTGTGTGTGTGCGTGTGTGCGTATGTGCATGCGTGTGTGCGTGTGTGCGTGCGTGTGTGCGTGCGTGTGCGTGCGTGTGTGATCGCACCCAGGAGTAACCGCCCTGGCGCAGGTATTTAGCACAGAGGTCACTCGCCACAGCATGAACCCAGCATGAAGTCACCTCCTCACCTCCTCCTCTTCATTCTTCTTCTTTGATTCTCTCTGCTTGGGACTCACGAGGAATTCGCTTCTTACCCATCGCCGCTGATTTTCTTGAATTTTATTTCCTTCTTCGTCATGATTTTTCAATCTTTTGAGTTTCTTTTTCGGATGCTTCTGACGACCAACGGGGTACGCGCACCACAGCTCACCTCGGGTTAAAACGCTCGGGTACAAGAGAGTTTCAAATGTTTCAGTACAACCTAACATATGGACACCGATGAACACGAATAATTACAATCGTTTATGATCGTAATTGTGTCGGTGCACTGCTGGGCGAAGGCCTGCCTGTTGATTGTGTTGAGCATCATACTTCACCATGCTGGTTCAATGGCGGGCTGGTGAACTGGGTACCCAGAACCGGTTCAGATATCCGTCGCCGAGTTCGTTGTGCAGTGCGCCCCCGCGGATTAATGAAAGTACCTGGATCTTACTGACACTGGCTGAGAGGCAACGACGGTGATACCGGTGGCAGACAGATGGACTGACAGACTCACTGACGGATGCACTGATGCTGACTGACAAATTGAAAGTAGGTTTGTTTTTGTTTTTTTTGCTTTAAAGCGAGGAACCTCCTCTGGCTGATTTTACTCAGAAAATGGTCAAAAATGGAACTCCGTCAAAAAGTGTAATTCTGCGTTTGACACGTCTGCAAGGCTGACGGGACTGTCTTGCTTACTGTGTTGGTGATATCAAAACACCAATCATGTCGGTTTGTTCGTGCTCTGCCAATCTTTACAACCTTGTAGCAAAATATCACAACAACCTGGATCGACACATTCCCAACGCAGTTGCAGCTGTGCAACGGTGACGGCACCGCACGATTCCCGCACGTGGCTAACAACGTTAGTGGCGAGTGACACCACAACCGCACTGACCAGCGCGGTGAAGTATGGTCAAACAACTCCCCGCGACCGGCACGGACCGGAGGCGCCTGCATCCAGAAGTGGATTGATAAACGAGTAACAGCCTCTAAATGTTTCGTATGGGCGACTTAAATTAATTTAAAAAAATAAATGACAGCTAAATTTGCAACATTCACACACACCTGACCTGTAGCCTGATGTACACGATTTTCAATTTGTGTTTATATTTGCGTTTCTATGCTTTGTTTGCGTCCGTTGATTAACTTTCGTTTGCGACAGTTTGCATTCACTTTTCGTTTTGTTTCTAATCCCCACCTTTTAGCGAAAGCGGTGCAGCCCTTGGATTAATACGCAACCGGTAATTACTGTCACTGTGCCGTGGGCCGTGTGTTCGTAGCTTGCTAGGCGTGCAAGTCGGCTGGCGTAGCTATCGAGTGTGCAGGCGGTGCAACTGCACAGGGCCGCCACCCACGTGCCTACCACCCCTCCTCAGCCTATCAGGGCGGTGAAGGGAAATGGAGCTGGGGAGAGCCCATTTAATTCGTTGTACCAGGGCCCGTGCCAACCACGCTACACCGCTAGTGACAACAACGAGCACAATGCATCGCAGGCCTGGCTGCGCGCATATCTCTCGAGAATTAACAGAGAGGGAACACAATTTCTTGCAGGAACAATGCGACTTAAAACGAAAATGACCAAACACGTTGCACCCATTGGCCAGAGGGGCAGGCCCACCCAGAGGTTCAGAATTCCATGTGGGGCCTCCTTCTCATTCGCTACGTTCAAGCCTACATCAGAATTCAAACAAAATTACCACTTTTTCGATCAAATCATTGCATAATTATAATACCGCAATCCAACAAGAAAAGCCAGGCCGCTCGTGAGGACCCTCTTTTGTGTGAGGCCCATGTCACACTGTCCCTGCGACACCGCCACCACCAAGTCGGGCATCCCTTTGAAGGATGCCCCCAGCACTGGGCTACAAATGGGGGGCAGTGCCCATTTCATCCCTGTGACAACCACGCTATGCCGCCGATTGCAGTGCATGCTCGTGCCGCAGTATCCCGTGCCGTGGCCGTACTTTCTCGCCCGTTGTAGAGCCGCGTTTTCTCTAAACGTCGCCGTGGCTTCAGAGACATTTCCATTCCATCGCCCCGCTCCGAGCGGCTGCCGCGACGCTCTCCCGCGCCGTCGAAGCCGCCCTTCTCAGGTCGCACCGCGCGCGTCGGTCCGGCACGACGTCCGGCGCGTCGTCGTAGCTCCGTGCGCCGCGCCCCCAAGAAGCTCCCCGACACGCGGAGCGGAACGTCGGACGTCGCGCCCGACGGCCACGCGGCACGACCCGAAAACGCGTCGTAGAAGCCGTGGGGCGCAATCGCGAAAACCTACGCGGCGGTTTTATCGACGGTCGTCTTTTTTTTGTGTAATTTTACTGATGCTTTTGTCATTTTTGTAACGGTGTTGCGTGCGCATGTGTGTGCCTGTGTGTGCGTGCGTGGTATCCCTCCCTTGTCTTTTTCTCCGTGTCACCCTCCCACCTGTCACGGCAGACAAGCAGTGGTACCCCGACGAGGTGGAGGATGCAGTCAACCGCAACATACTCATTAAGCCGATGAATCCGCAGCTGTCAAACCAGATCAACCAATTCAAGGCGATAGGCAGCCCGATCCCTCCAATCCGGGAGATGGAGGATGAATGCTGAGATTTCGCTGCCTCATCGCTCTCACGCGCTCTCTCTCTCTCTTTATCTCTCTTTCCGCTGAATAACACTCTCGCGTTGCGTAGCGCCAGTGAACGATACCCGGGGACGGGTTGTCAAGGCGCACGGATACCACGAGATGCTTTGAACTGCAGCAAATTGCTGAGTAGATTGCGAGCGAGCGTGGCTTGGCATGGGCTCTGGTGCATAGAATCAAACGAGCCGTCCCCCATCCCCACTGCCCGACCACACACGCGCCCTTTATAGCCAAAATGCGCGTTGCCGGTGCAGTTGCACCGCCTGCACACTCGACGGCGACTGCGCCGCTGCTGCGCATCACGCCTGACGATGGCGCGCCGTCCCCCCCTTCCTCGCCGCTGCCTTCCACGCGTCGCAAACCTCGACCGCGTCCGCTCGTGCGCCGAGCTGGCGCCAAAGGTGAGGCTGAGACGACGCGGCTTGGGTGCCCGATCTGCGTGTCCCCACGCTCTTCCCTCTACCCCATCGGAGTCTCCTCCTCGCCTCCTCCGCCTCCTCCGCCTCCACTGTGAGAATTGACCAAAAGCTCACTGGCATTAAGCGGCGCGGTCCGCGCGAGTGTTCGAGAGGGTCGTGACCAGCGGCGTCGTTATGCACGAGTGCGCAGGCCGTGCAACTGCCCCGGGGTCCATCGGCCGGAGGGACCCAGAGGCCCCAGGAATTACAAAGAGAGGTGGGCGGGGGGGCGGTTAGACTATTTGGGGCTCCCATTGCATCCCATACACCGGGGCCCATGCCAATGACGCCACGCCGCGAGTTTTAAGAGTTGCCAGGAATCGAGTTTCGCGAAGATTCATTGCGTGAAGAAATATCGCGGCGTGCGTGATTCTAAGCCGGGGGGACATGTCCACGAAGTCGCTGACAGCTGCCATTCATCCTGGCCCAGGGTTTCCTGTACATGTCAACGATTTGCTGTTGTCAGGGAAGGCATTTCTACCGCTCACCATCCCTGCAGTAGAATCTGCATCAAAAAATCCCCCTCCGCCGCGTGTAGCCTTTAAGAGACTGTTGGGGGCACGTGCTGTTAGCGAGCACCGATGAAGGTCCGACCGATGCACCACATCCTGGTGGTGGTGCCTGCACCACGCCGAGCCGCCTCCTGTCTCCCGAGTGCCGATGTTTACGCACCGCACCAGGTCCTCGTTTAAGGCGGAGTCGACCTTGGGGAGGCCCGGAGCAGGTGCCGATGTCACGTCGTCACTGGCGATGCTAGCCGCGGCTGGGGAATTGAACTCGGGTGCCGCTGCGTTTCATGGCACGGCGCGCTAATCGCAGCGCCACCGCTCAGTCTGGGTGAACGCTGGCGACGCACGCGAACCTTGACGTTTCCCAATTTGCACAAAGCCTACTTCTACGTCACATTCCAGTCATAGGTATATGCGTTCAATAATAATGGATTTAAAATAATTATTATATTACACCTACAGCCCTTCTTTCAGTTCCACTGCTGGACGAAGCCCCCCCACGCCACGTGAGGGGGGGGGGGGGGCTCTCACGGCGATTGTTGAACTGCTCTACTTTGTTTGGGCAAGGGTGGCGCGCAGGAATAACCGGTCCAGATATCGCTCGCCACCGATGTTAGCCACGGCCGGGAATGGAATCGCTCAGGGTCACCGGGTGTTCATTTCGCGGTGCGCTAAAACCCTCTGTGCCCCGCGCGTTCACGGGTGCGGGCGTGTAGTCACTTGAAGATGTTTCTTGTTTTGTTGCGGTTGCACCCGAGTCAAGAGCCGCATGGCTCACAGGGTTATACCTAATAAATGAAACTCAAACGAGTGTGCACCAAAAGGGGTGCACGGAAATCCGTGGGAAGTCGGTCGATTTTAGAATCACGTCTCCCCTAATAATGACGGCAGGCTTGTTTTGAAGCCGAGTCCCGGTCACGCGTTGTTCTACGCGTGCCGTGCAGTGTGTCCGTCGGCGTTACGGTTTTTAGAAGACGGGGGGGGGGGGGGGGAAATAACCGATTGATAATTAATCGTTGTCGCGTCCGTATTTTTAACCATCCCGCGTGGGAGGCGAGCAATCTGCCCCGTAGCCCGTGGGTAACAATGACGTCATATCCACCAGGTCTCCTCCTCCATCGAGGAGGAGATCTGTAGCTTTCGACTCTGAATTAATTTGCATTGCAGCAGGCGAGACTTGGGCTGGGGTTGAGGGTGGAACGGGAGGCGGGGGGGTAATCTGTGTGAAATGAATATTGCCTCTTTCACTTTGAAGTGCTGGTAGCAGCCGCAGTGGAGAGACCTCGTGGCATTTGAACATCAATCGCGGCTACCGCGCTCTCGACTCGGCGTGTCCGGCGAACAAATCGTGCGACTTTGTGGGCGCGTGTCGGAGCGCGCCATCACCCCACGACCCAGTCAACCCTGCAGGGTTGAGCCTGGCCCGGATGGCTCACAGCCACCAGGGCTTGCCACGTGTTGTAAGCGTGGCGGGCGGGGGGGACCCTCGTGTGCTAGGTCGGGTTTTTCTCCGAGTTCTTAGCTTTCCTGGCACGCGAAACCAAATGCTCGCGAATGTAACCGGAGGAAACACATTCCAGCAGGACACTTCTCAAAGAGAGCCATGAGACTCAGGCCTTCCGGAGTAACTCATTGACAGGATTAATATTAAACGTAAGAATAGGTTTTACCTTTTCAGGCAATAAAAACAGTTGTGTCAAGATGTTCAAACACCAAACAGAATCCTTATTCAAGGAATCAAGTCACTGCATTAACCACGCGTACTTGTGGTGAACATGCAAACAAACATGCTTTGATAAGATGTTTGCATCGCCTTTGAAACTGATTGGCCTACACCAGGGACAGCCTCCTTTATGGCGGAGTCTCTCCAGTATCAGACCAGAGAACGCCAAACGGCGAACAGTTCAAAGACAATGCCACACGTATCAGAGCATTTGTAGCTCGGGGTGAGCAACTGTATAATTGGACCTTTTTTCCAGTATTAAAAAGGTCCCATGATACGAATAATATTGTTCGTTAGAGGACGACGCTACATTTACACTTTCATATGTAAAACAAAATTCAGACGCATGGGCACTCCCAGAAGAGGGTGAAGGTAGAGGCGCGGCCCTGCAATTGCTCACGCACGCCACTGCTGCCAGAGCTAGGAGTGGGGAAGTCATACGTTGATTGCCCTGTGTACGCCTTTAAGATTGCTGATGATGTCAAGAAGGATTCGTAAGTCACAGTGATGGGCAGTTGAGACAGTCTGCAGCTCGTGGTGGTGGTGGCGGCGGAGTTGGTAATCGTGTATTAAATTACAGCATTTACAAACGTGTACTCTGTATTATACACGTAAACCTTTCGGCGCATCGTGCACGGACTTGCACACGGGGCAATTCACCCACAACAGCTTCAGGTCATTCAGGGATAAGTCAGGAATCAAGTATAGATTGCCTCAAAATGTCATTCAGACTTAACGATCGGTAATGTGGGGGAGAAGTTTGACTATACTTCACCGCTTAACACGTAGGCTTTCACGACCAATATCATCCATAATACAGGGGTTTTTTGGGGGGGTTAGATCGCGTAAATATAAATGTGTCGTTAAACCCGTCACCACCCGACAGCCAATTAGTAAGGGTTGTCACGTAAACAGAACGTGGTTAATTCGTTACTAGTACAGCACACCGGTGTGTTGGAGAGCAAATCCACAGCATTGGTCAGTGCGGCACAGCGCACTCGCTTCGAGAAGTCCGTCTGAACGTATTTGAAGATTTGAGAAGTCTGCCCGAGTTGTTGATTTGCCCTTCAAACTGCCAGAATATCTTGTGTTGAGTTATGCGCAGATTATAGGATTGCCCGCGATATGGCGAAACGAACGATACGATGTACCGACAGACAAAGTTCACGGTAGTGGTGTTGTCTTTCTTTGCAACACGCCGTTCTATTGTGCTTATCGTGACACCGATATATTTTTAAACAAAACAGTTGTATTAGCCGGCAAAAATATTTACGAACTAACAAAAGCAACACACGCAGAGAAAAATGAGGTTCAAACTAAATGGCTATTTTACTCATTCAATTGCTGCTTTGCAGAATGTTTTCTCGTGGTGCATTTGATGCCTGTGTCGGTCACATGACACGGTCATCGGCGTGGTTAATTAAGTTTGTTAATTAGCTCTTGACGGCAGGCTTGTGTGAATTACGAAGTTGGAGAACGTTTCGGTGGAACCTTGCCTCGTCCCTGGAAGTTCAGACAGCAAGGCAACGAGAAACAGGGAACGATAGCGATCGCGAAAACACAAAATTACGAGGGGTGGGTGGGTGGGGGGTGATATCGTGATAATTACATCGCGAACATGATATCGCGATAATCGTCGCGACGATTCGTATTGTCGTAAATTATATCACGGCAACTCTAAATATATATAGCACGAATGCAGTACACTGACAACAACGAGTAACAACGTACGCGTGAAAAACAATGATTGTCGTGAACGCACACGCCGCCGTCGGTATGACCTTCATGACATTAAAGCGGTGAAGGCGTCGGGCGATTATTTGATTTTCATTGCAGACTCCGGTGCCTGCCCGCTGATTTGCTTGGACGCGGAGTGAGCGGCTACCACGTTCCTGTTGGCAACTCAGAGACGGGGAGATGCGCCGCGATGAATGGGCGAGAGCGCGGGTTGGACGTGAGCGCGCGTGTGGCCGCGATGTCACTCGTGCCTGGGTCGCACACAACATCTCCACACGGCTGTGATGCGATGTGAAGTGCACGTTCGATTCATTGCGCATGTTGTGGTTGCAGCATCGGTAGGGCTCTTCAGTAACCCCCCCTCACTACCCACTCAGCCTCCAAAGATAAAGATCCCCCCGTATATAGCCTTTAACAGACTGTTGGGACAAGTGCTGTTAGCGAGCACCTATGAAGGTCTGCACTGCACACGAAGGTAGTGGCTTGGCCACACAAAGACAAATATCCCCCGTATAGCCTTTTAACAGACTGTTGGGGCAAGTGCTGTTAGCGAGCACCTATGCGTGTGTGTGTGTGAGCACTCACCACACGCGCGCACAAGAGGCAGGCACATGGCTTTGAATGCATTAAATACAATAAATGATCATCTTTTAAGTGACCACAATGAACTGCCTGGGGGGGGGGGGGGTAAAGAAAACTGAAGCTGTAATGTGAATTGCAAACTGCAACGCGGAGAGGCGTTAACTCGGCCGGTTTACTGAAACTTGCAGTGATTGGTTGGCTCGGAGGGAGCGCGTGGCAGCCCAACTGCTGGGACGTGGGGTCGAGAAAATGTGTTTTGATGCCTTTAGGGAGGAAGCGGTGGATAATCGGTATTCTTATCGTTGGTGGGTTGGCCTACCACGTATCTAAGTGATCTATGCGCGACCTATTCGATGTACTAATGCATATTACCGGCTATAATCACCCAGAAATGTCTGTCCGTCCCGCGCGTGATGTCACTCCACTTGAGGCCCACCCCCCGCGTGACGTCACTCCACATGAGGCCCACCCCCCGCGTGACGTCACTGCACATGAGGCCCGCCCCCCGCCATTAATATTCATGAGTGAGTGGATTTTTACACTAACGCAGATGAAGGTCGAGCTGAATTAATTAATTGATTACGCAAAGTCGCTTCAAACGTGACGTTTCTTTACAGAAAGTGACGTCACTCTACATGGCGCACCCCTCCCCAATAACCATTAGCGGGTGACGTCACTCCACATGGAGCAACCCCCCTCCCCCTCATTAATAATCATAAGCTGAACAATTTTTCTATTGAATATTTCAGATTTACTGCAATATACACTCACCCTCCTTGGACGGGCAAACAAGCTCGTTTGAATTATATTGGTCATTCACACAACTCCAACCTCTAACCTTGGACCAACTGGTGCATAAGCAAGGAGAAGAATGACGTGGCAATAGATCAAAAATGTCAGTGGGACATGTATACTCTATATATCTATGTATTAAGGTGTACGTTTGATACAGTTATTTACGTATTTATTTATAACGCCTCTTAACTAACGAGGGCCGAGTTGGGAGTGAGGCGCTGCTCGCTCTGCGGAACGCGGAGAGAAACGTCGCAGCAACAGGGCGCCATGTTGGCGAGATGTTAACTACCTCGCCTGGTACGCAGGGGGTCGTGGGTTAGATCCCGACCCTGACGCCTGCTGCTGTATATTTGGAGTTTGCGGTGTCTCTCTCCCCGTGGTCGCGTGGATTTTTCTCCAGGTCCTCTGTCCCCCCCCCCACACACATTTAGAATCGACAACACGCGTTTAGAGTATTTGGTTGCTGCTATAAAATGTCCACGTGATGGTGATGACGAGCCACTTCGTTGAGCTGTCATTTGTGATCGCCAGGTCGCGTCTGACAAATAGCCACGGAACTCAGTGGGGCCTTACCTGGTCAAAAAAACAAAATAGCCCCTCTTCTCTCCCATGCGGTTATTTTGCGGGTCGCTGCCCTGGTTCGATCGGTGCGATTCATCTGACGCTCACCGCTCACGTTCCAGACACTCCTCCCAGAACTTGAGGAGCGAAAGAGGGTCCCAGGACGTGGAGCGAAACGTCGGACATCGTACCAAACATCGCGTGGAGCAGCCCGAAAGCACATCTGATAGCCACACAGCACAAATCGTGACAAAAAATACCCCTATATTGTTATTGGGTGACGCTGCTGCGTCCGCAATGGTGCAGAAGCACAACAGCACAAAATATTAACACATTCGTCAATAACACTGTGTGGCCTTAAAATGAAAAGTATATATAATCTGAGACGTTTCGGGCAATGTGCTATAAAGAAGGGCCATCCCCTGAAACGTAGCCTATTCTATATATGGTATCTATTTACCTTTGAATGCAACGGTCTTTATTGACGAACATGTTGAGTTTTATTTTACTCGGTGGCATACAAATGTGATGTCACGTCAAGTGGAGGCCCTCCAATGTTGGAGGCACCGCGCCCGAACGCAGTCGCCTTCGTGAAATCCGCAGAAGCTGCCCAAGGCCGCTACAGAGATGGCACAGAGAATAAAAAAACCTAAGAGTATGGCACAGAGAGGCAGTGCTGTGGCGACAAAGACAAAGATCTCCCGTATAGCCATGAACGGACTGTTGGGGCAACTGCTGTGAGCGATCACCTTACGACGGCCGTTACGACGGACGATGGTGTGGGTGTCCGGTACCATGCCCGGCCGTCTTTGTATCCCCCAAATGCCGACGTTTTGCGCACCGCACCAGGTAGTATTCATTTCAAGGCCGAGTCACTGGTGTTGGTGGGCGGCCTTGAGCGGAAGTCGAATTCGGGTCGCCGGGTTCGTAGAGCAGCGCGCTAACCGCTGCGCCACCGCTCCCCCACACTCAACTGACGGGGCCACAACCGCCGCTCGACGCGTTGGGATGGAGCGCATCTCTTGCGTACTCGCGTCTGTGAGAAGAGAATAACGAGCTTCATAGCTCATCGGATTCCTCCAGTATAAATGAATATTCTGATTGTGTCTGCTCGCCGTCGCCACGCAGCCACGAGGACGAGCAGACACCGACACGTGTTGTTTCGTCACTTATCACGGGACCAGAAAGTAATTTCACCTTGTCCCGCAACAAAGCAAACACAATCTATGTTGTGCGTACGGCATGTTGACAACGTGATATGGCTTCTATTTTTAAATATCTGCAGTTTACCGTTGAGGCTCAGCAAGAGGTTCTGTGTAGGTAGGTGTAGGTATGAACTAGGTTAGGTGTGCAGTGGGTTCACACGCTCTGTCTTTGCTTGCGTTTGTGTCGTATATTTATATATCCGCACGCGTAGCTGCGTGTGTGTACGCGCGCGCGTGTGTGTGTGTGTACAGGCTGGGTTTGTCACGTGCGCTGGTTGATGATTGTGACCGTGTCGATTCCGCCACTGCTACTGCAGCTACCAACTCTCTGCTCACATTGTCAATACTTTCTTTCGCCGTCATTGAATTCCACGAGTCAGACGCAAACGTTTGGTCACGTCGTACGCTATTAATTAGTTAACGCAGCTTCTTTACGCCGCCTTATCTGTGTGACTGGTTCGAGGTTTCAATGCCACATCACCATCAGCAAAACAGCATCATAAATTCGCACAGGGTTCCAATTGAGAAGTTTGCAGGATTAACTCGGTTGATTGGCGTTATTTTATTTGTTTTTAAACCACGTACTCTCCGTGAGTAAACGTCTCCCAGGATGTAAGCAACCTGATTGGTTCTCTCTGACGGCCACTTACAGGTGTCACGTGATGTCGATGATATTACTCCACGTGCGGTCTTTAACAACGCCGTTCCTATTGGAGTCGCCCGTCTACGATTGGGCAGCATCTATCACGTGCGGCCGACGTCGACTTGAAATCCTTTCTGCGATCGGACACAATCCTATCGCGTGCATGCCGACTCGGCCTCTTCGCAGTGTCCCAAATGCATTGATTCAAACATCATGCAGAGGGCAGCTACCGCTGCATCCTGTTCGCGAGGATGATCAGTCGTTCTTTGGAAGGATGTTATTCCTTTCTCCGACCTATCAATGTTCATGGCAATTTTTATTTTTGAATGAATGGCACTTATTCGATCGAAACAAACAAACTCCGGCGCATTGGAAACCCCGAATTAGACGTGATGTGATCAGCTGTCGCATTGTGCATGTGTACAGTCACCGAGGATGCTTTCGTTACAGGGAAAAAAAGGTACACAATTGAATCGGATGTTTGAACACGTTGATTGTCACACGGGACCTACTTCTGACAAAACCCCATCTCCGTCACGGTGTGTTTAGCTGAAGCGCGTGTTTAGTTACAGAGTTTGTAAAAACATTTTTGAGATTAATATTGTATCTGCAGGGACAAAGACGCGTAGTGTGTAGCCATGCCTTCAGTCCTGTGTGTCAGATGTAGCGTTTGTGTGCGCGTATACACAACGTGTGGTGCGCCATCTTCACATATTTAAGAAATGTCTGCTGATGAGATGTCAATGTGCATGAGCGTGTGTGCGCGTGTACCCGTGTGCGCGCGCGCGCGCGTGCGTGTGTGTGTGCATATGATGGGCCTCAAAATGCATATCCCTAATTTATAGATAACGATGTAAATACATGTACATGATTTAATTTTGTATGATTTTTTTCCTGCTATCTGGAATAAAGCCTATGTGATCGGTAAAACCACATTCCTGTCGATATGCGGTCTTCTTCGACACGTCTTGCACGAACTTTGTTGTTTTTTTATGTCACCTCCGGTTTGAAAAAACGGGGCGTTGGGAGGGGCATGGTGGGGTGCGGAGGGGCAAATTGAGTTCAGTACTCAAGTTTCTGCGCTTCAAATAGTCCACGGGGCAATGCGGATAGTGTATCCGTACCACCTAAGATGGCAAGCAAACCGTTAGTCGTGCCGATTAATTCGGCCAAATACGGAGTGAATGACTGGATCAACCCCATGCACTCATTTCAAATAGTTATCGCATAAATGCACTGTCGTTAGCCACGGCAAGAAATCCGAGCCACGCATGATATGCCACCTCATCCCGCAGGTGGTGCCGACAAAGTGAAACATCTGATCTGGGCTCACGCGGCTCCGTGGGGCCTGGCGGGGAGCAGCAGCAGCGCTCCTCGTGCAGTCCTCGTGCGGTCCTCGTGCGGCGATGTGCCCGAGAATCGCGCCGCCAGAGGGTGGCGAGCGGTGGCGCAGCGGTTAGCGCTACGAACCTGGAGACCCGAGTCCGTTTCCCGCTCACGATCAACACCCAGTGACGATTATCCGAACCGCTCCTGGGCCTCCCCTAGGTCGACTCAGCCTCAAATGAGTACCTGGTGCGGTGTGTAAGCATCGCCACTGGGGAGACAAAGCCGGCCGGGCGTGATGCTGCCCACCCACCGCCGTGTGTACAGTACCGGCCTCCATATGTGCTATTCGCTAACAGCACTTGCCCCAACAGGATGTTAGGGCTATACGGGGGACATTTGTCTGTGTGTGTGGTCTCACTGACCACTGCTCTCCACTCGCCAGCTTCTCTTCTCCCCAAAATGCCATTGCCCCCATGTGGAAACCTCTGGAACAGCTGAGTGGTTCCCTTGCGTCACCGATGTCTCTCTCTGTTTCTACGTGCCATGTCCTTTCTCAAATGGCCTCCTTCCATTTATCTCCGTCCACGATATTTAACTCAAGAACATTGCATTGTATAGATTGCCCCTCTTGCCTCCAATTGTTCAAATTGCTGATATAATTAATTCGCTGTCTTCCCTGGCTTCTTGCTGCACCACAAATATTAGTCATTTACAGATGCCGTGATCGGCTAGAGCAATCACTGGCAGCGAATTATATTTTGTTGCAAAACTAAAACTTGCGCAATGCGGGTGCATCTGACAGCTGCGAACCCGGTGAGCGATGCGGGCTCGATAGATTGTCACGGGTTGGTAGGGATTGTAAGGAGGCTCTGGTCATTCCTCCCGCGTGAAGCCAAACAATCGTCACAAGCTAAACATCGCAACGATGTAACTGGCATTCTCCAAACATCCCAATGATGAACACAAATACCTGCAAATGACTCAATTGGGATTCCACACAGTAGCAGCAGCATCGCCCCCTTACAGCTACAACTTGGCAGGACCTTCCTGAAAACGAGTCTTTAGACTCAGATTTTCCTGGTTAAAACAAGCATAGCACAAATAATACGAACGAATGGGATTGGCCAACCACCCCGATGTTGCAGGACCATCCTGACAAAAAGTATTGAGACTCGGTGAGGATTCCCTGCATGGCTTTAGCAGAATGTATTTAGCGTTTATATAATTATAAGCGCGCGTGCCGCGGTGCTACGCGGATTATTAAACCGCAAGGCCGTGAGAGATGGAGACGACTTGGGGGCGGCCTCCATCCAGCAGCAGATCGGTTACGGCTGATAACACCGATGACGATCTGTCCACGTGTTTACATCACAAAATAACCAATTAAGCAGAGCGCATATCATCTATTCGTCACTCGTAGCGCGCGTGACGATGTTCGATGCCAATTAGACTCCTGTCTATCGAGGCCACCGAGGGTTGCCGCTGCGCGAGATGGGCCAATATAACTCATGCTCGCTGTGAGCCTGACAGCCTCCCCCCGCCTCCCCACCTCGCCCCCACCCGTGCCGTGTTCACCATTAGTAGCGGTAAAGTCTTGTGACAACAATCCACCTGTCTGTCTGCATGTACATGCGGCCGGCGTGAAATCATGTTTCGGTTAACTCTTGATTGTCCGTGAGCGTATTAACCGTACGCGCGCGTTCGTTTAAATAATAGTATTATTAGCAATAGTATAATTATTATTGAATCGTTTGATTCTCACTCGTCGGGGGTCATTGACTCGTTGCCCACATGACCACAGACACGTCGGCAGGTAAAACCGATTTAAGAAGCATCAAAGGCAGACGACGCAGTCATTCTGCGTGTTCAGCCCCATCATTCGGTCCTACGTGGATTTAACAATGACCGACCGTGGTCAAACCACTGCTGGATAAATGCCTCCCCAAAAGGCGACGTATTACGATTCTTCGATGCAATAATCAGAATTAGATTATGTATCGTGGATGAATCCGAAGAGCAATACAACGCTTTTTCGCAGATGTCCAGTAAACGTCCAATGCACGTGCGCCTCTTTTCAGATTTTGTTCCAGCTCCTTTATCAATGTCTATATTTTCTCATCCACATATATATAATATGCATGCACGTATATACTGTATATATATAACATGGAGTATCTGGTTCATCGTGAGGCTCTGCGCAATGTTAATCAGGCGAGCCAAGTTCGATTCCCACTTATGGCCACCAACACCAGTGACGAATATCTGAACGGGTCCTGCGCCTCCAATAAATTGACTCAGCCTCAAATGAGCACCTGTTGCGGTGTGCACACTTTGCCACTAGAGAGACAAAGGCGGCCGGGCGTGGTGCTTGCCACACCACCCCCTCGTGTACCGTGCTGGACTTCACAGGTGCTCGCTGACAGCACTTGCCCCAGCAGTCTGTTAAGTATATAGGGGGATCTTTGTCTTTGTCCTCTCCTCGGTTGGCTCCCCCCCCCCCACCTTTTGCTGCAATTCCGTCATTAGTCTTGACCAGCGAGCAAAAACCAACTCTAGCCATGGCGTGTCCTCCTCGTGTCCTTGACAACTACACACGATGCTGAATAATTCAATCGACTCAGTTTCACCCACACCGACCGCTAGAGTCACAGCGGGCCCATGTACAACAAACCAAACGTCCAATTAGATTGCAGCTGAGATTTTGAGATTTTGAAGGAGGAAGCCGCTCTCGTCTCCTCTCCATAGCTGTGGGGGGAAATGAACCTCATGGCGGTACCCCCAGGGTACCATAGTACCCCGGCTCTCGCACAATGTCCGCGATGCAGTCATGTTTAGTCTGTTGATGGTCGGAGATGCGGAAATCGACTCGTCTCGACGAGCTGTGCACGATGCACCGCTACGGTGCGTACCGCGAGTGTTCGGGGTTTCGGCACAATCGACCTCACTGCCTTTCGACATCGTGGAGTGTGGCACCGATTACGGATTCATTGGTACCCCAGTCGCGGAGTGAAGTACATCCCTTGGAAAAAATAGTGGCCCTGAAATAAAATGTTTAATTGCCTCGGCCATTTTGTATTATTTGGTACCCCGGGAACCGCCATAAAGATACTTGTTCCTTTCAAATCTCTGGAATTCCCACCAATAGCATCATTGTCCAATTTCTTAAAGAATAATTTATTGCACATTTAGTTAGTGCTGATTCCTACTGGCCGCTTGGCGTTTTCGGCGGTTGGGGCGGGGGGCTGTGCTCAGCAATCATTATCATTACATCTCAGTGAGAGCGTATTGTATATTGTGACACTCTCCTCTGTAAGATATTTAAGTATTCCCCTTCACAATATTCAATCACCCGTTGAGAATAAACTAAGACAGACGATAGGCATTAGAGCGTATTGGGGTATCTACAAATGGATCGCCACAGCACAGCGTACCGTGTCTAGACACACAAAAACCCTGAGCCGTGTTGTAGCTGCACACGGCACGGCGTTGGCTGTCTGCCTTCCAAACAGCCCTAATGAGATGGGCAGGATAAAAGCTTTTTTTATTTTTGGTGAACACATTAATTTTGCATGCGACAGTTTGTCACGGCGACGCGGAGAGCGGATGTGGCAAGCGGAGGTTCGCGACTGCGCGCCGAGCGCAGATGACACGTGGCGAGACGCCGGTGCTGAGCTGGGGCCGACACGTGACGCCTCTAACCCCCCACCTACCTCACCCCTCCTCAGTAAGCAAAGACAAAGATCCCCCGAATAGCCTTAACAGACATATGGGCCAAGTGTTGTTAGCGAGTAGCACCTATGAAGGCCGGCACGGCACGCGAGGGGGGTGGGTGGCCAGCACCACGCCCGGCCGCCTTTGTTGCCCGAGTGGCGATGCTATACACAGCGCACCAGGTACTCATTTGAGGCTGTGTCGACCTAGGGGAGGTCCGGGACCGGTTCATGAAATCGTCACTAATGTTGGTGGCCTTGAGCGGGAATCGAACCCAGGTTCGTAGCGCAGCGCACTAGCCTCTGCACTGCCACTCCCCACGCAACGATACACAGGTTTTTAAACGCATATTAAAGGTTGTAGCATGTGGAGATAATCACAAAATGAATAAAACTTTCAAAAGGAATTATCATTCCGGCGAGGTTTTTTTGTGAAGGTGTTCATAAATAATGCAGCCACCCTTAAGTGCAAAAGTTCAAACGCTGAAGTGATATCAGATTCATATAACAGTGAAATACTCAACACGTTCTTTAATACGATTGTGGCCTTAATAGAACAAAACATTGAGTCGGTGACGTGTGGGGCAATGGTCCTTCTACACATCATATACATAGAGAGGCCAGGAGAGAGATCGAGTTGAGTTGGAGACTGAACTGATGACCAGTTTTTACGTAGACTTATGGATGGTTGCGCTTTTAGTATCTATTGAGTCGCGACTAAATCAACGGCATTATCATTACATGTTGCTGGCACATTGCATGGTGGGCTGATGCGTACCTGTGAGCTCGATGCACGATCCAGTAAGCAAATGCACTCCTGGACGCCATCGCCAATCAAATGTAACAGCAGCAATCAGAATCAGCAATGTCTCTTATCGATCCACTGCCGGAGGA